CCTTACGAGGGCTCCAAAAGACAGCTCCTCCGTGGTAATCCTCTGGATTGTTGAGTTGTAGTGTATGGCTCTTCTTTCTGTGCTTCTTTTTCACTAAAAGAGCCTCCTTCAGGCCGTTGATCTCATGGTGAAAGAGCTCATTTTGTACTGAGATGTGATGGAGGGACCGGCGGAGCTTTTTAGACTCCTTTGAGCTTTCATCTCGTGTTGATTGACGTATAAGAGACTCTATTTCAAGCCAGTCCTCTCCACTGAGTACTAACGTTGAGCTTTCATCTGAACTTGAAGCGTCTTTGTTGAATCTTTTGAGTATGACGTCCCTGTTCGGTGGTTGGTTGGTTGGTTGGTATTCATTTTTCGTCTAGTTGATAGGGATTAAGTCCACCATCTCGCCTCCCGAAGGGCATGTACGACGTGCTAAGCTATGGAATTACAGTGCTGCTACACTACCTTAGAAAGCATTTCTTGCCTGCGCGGGTATTGCTACTATTTCAGAGATACAGCTCCCCTTCCAGTTGGGGAGACTGAGCGGTGTGTGTACATTAGGGTGATTTCCTTGCATTTTAAGGCATTAGTGCGCCAAGAGAGAGATAGAGAGAGAGAGAGTGTGTGTGTGTGTGTGTGTGTGTGTGTGTGTGTGTGTGTGTGTGTGCGTGTTTAGGGGGAAAGAGAGGGAGAGGGGTGGGGAGTGTTGCAGCTATTGTGCTGGACCTAGTTCTGCTAGGTGTTGCATTCCCTGTTGCTGTTGCAGGGCAGGTAATGCTACCTGGGACAAACCTTGGTGTAGTACTGTGTGAGTTTGGTGAAGGCTTCAAAGGCCTCTAGATCCCCTATCAGCACCGCAATATACGCTAGGCTCTCAGCCTGGCTGGATGGAGGTATAGGCGGTCTAAGTGGCCATCTGTTAAACGTCCCTAGGGTCTTGCGGCAAAGCGCAAGGTGCTCAGGCGTCTTATCCTGTCCGCACGAGCAGGTGAGGTTTGCATCTTTGTGGTTGTACTTTCGGTGGTACCAGGCAAAGTCCCCATGTCTAGTCCGAATAGAAAGCAGTCTAGCTAGGGTGGCTCTTAGTAGGTTAAGTTCCTTTAGACTGCTGCGTGGTGCATAGTCTAGGTGCCAGCTTTTGTACTATTTCGAGAGTTTGTTCTTCTTTTCAGACCACCAGATCTGCTGTGTATGTTGTAATGTCTTGCGGGCAATTGTCTTGATGCCTGAGAGTGTAGGCAGAGCAGCTTTACCCTTTGGGGGTGATGGGTGTTAGGCTTCTAGGTTGGCTAATCTGTCTGCTGCCTCATTTCCTTTAATGTCTAGGTGTCCAGGGGCCCATTTAACAGAGACGTCGTAAGTCTCTATAGCGCCGTAGCACTCTAGGAAGGCCCATTGAGAGGTAGGGGGTGCGTCGCCCCTTAGGCACCATATGACTGAGGTGCTGTCTATGCACATTCAGATTCGACGGGTATTAAACTCTAGCTGTCTAATAGTGTGCTAGAGGCCTCTCCATGCTCCTACTGCCTCAGCGTCAAAGATATGTGAAGTAGAGTTAAGTAACCCGCGCCCAGTCTGCAGTTGCTTTCCGTTCTAATACACTGCGAAGCCGTAGGTGACCCGCTTTTCTCCTTCCTTTGTGTACTGTTCAGAGCCATCTGAGAAGATAGTCACGTCTAGTGGAGGGAGTTAGGCCCACTATGTATTGAAAGCCTTCGCTGCAGTCTTCTTGTCTATGCCAAGCGTTAGGTCAGTTCGGCAGCTAGTTGAGTAGTAAGGAGCTGTGAGTGTAGTCCTAAGGATCTCTGGTAGCAGAGAAGCGATCTGTTGGACTTTAGTCTTAACCCGCTGGGGTTGTCCCGTTTTTACGCCTCTATTTACTACATGTACTACTATGCGCCTAGTGAAGGGGTAGTCTGCATCTGTAGTGCGCAAGTGGGTTGCAAATCTGAATTTAGCTTCCTCTAGTGCTACTGCTACAGTCAGTAGTCCAGCGTCTCGGAAGAGTGCAGCTATAGGAGTTGTTCTCCACGCTGGTAGAATACCTCTTGCTGCTATAGCTAGTGTCTTGTCTATAGCAGTTATGTGCCATCTAATGTAAGCGCTAACCTCTTGTAGCCTGCCTAGCTTGAGTGAATGCGGCGGTTTCGTGCGGCCTCTGTACCAGCATTCGGTCCCATACAGAAGCGACGGGTATACACAGGCAATAGTAGCCTTGCGGAGGGAGCTGGCTAGCGTCCCATAGATAGTCCTAGCCAGACTGCGAATGTGATAGGCTACCCTAGCAGCTTTTGCAGTGCGTGTAGATACGTGTCGTCTGAAGGTGAGTCTGCGATCAAACCACACTCCTAGCCAGCGCAGGGCTGGCTAGTTGTGCTCCCCACCTGGGGGGATAGGGTAGATCGTGAGCTGCTCATCTACAACACATGGTGGGGCGTAGCTGCTCCGCTGCCTAGTTAGGTGTATTATTTCCTGCTTTTCTAGCGCAAAGGTGACCTTGTTGGCCTCGCCCCATGCTCTAATCTGTCTTAGATCTGATGCTAGGAGCTCGACGTTGTCATCCATAGAGTGTGAAGCCCGGTACAGGCATATGTCGTCTGCATATCCGAACCTCCGTTCTGTGTCCATAGATAGTAGCTCTGCCAGGTACAATGTGTATAGAATAGGCGAGAGAGGCGAGCCTTAAGGTGTGCTACAGGCGACAGGGTAGCTTGGCGTAGTGACATGGCCAAGGCGTACTCAAACCCTCCGTTCAGTGAGGAATGAGTCTACAAAGAGCAAAGTCCTTTGTGGCCAGCCCTGTTGAGCCATCCGGTGTAGTAGGCAGTTCTTAAGGAGCGCATCAAACGCGCCTTGCACATCTAGGGTGACTATAGTGACATGCTTTCTAAGTATCCATGCTGCTTCCGTGTCGTGGGTGAACGCTGCAGTGAGGTCGGCTGCAGAGCGCTTTAGGAGGGCGCCGCCATGCTGGGGGCTGAGGATCTTGTGTGTCATAGCAGTCCACGCGATTCTTCTAGCTACTGTTCGTTCGAGTCCCTTTCCAATGCAAGAGAGAAGCGCTATCGGTCTCTAAGAGCGGGGTGATGTTCGGTCTATCTTTCCCGTCTTAGGTATCATTGCTACCTCGGCGAGCTTCCACTGTGCTGGGAAGTAATTGAGCTTAAGGCAATGCTGGAAGACTCTTCGTATGAGTTCCCCAACATAAGTGGCATCTATTAGCCAGATCCTAGTAGCTTCAAAGGCTTTCAATATAAGATTATCTATAAACAAGGATTTCTAGGCGCTCTAGAAGAGTGGGAAGAAGTCTCCTCTCTTAATTGGGATAAGGCCTTGAGCCTTATAGAGATAGTTAGTGAGCTCGTTAGAGTAGGCTTAGGAGAGTGGCTTAAATAGCACTACATTAAGCGGCTAGAGCGTATAAGTTGAATAGGGGGGAAGGATTATAAGGAGAATCCCGTAGCGATCGCAGTAGCTGATAAACTCCATCGTGATATAAGATCTATGGCCATCAAGGATGAGCAGTCGCCATCTCCCTAATCGCTGCTTTGTGTAGCGATCAAACACCTGCTCTAGCCAAGCTAGGCCTACGTCATTGTTTGATCAGCCTGTTAGAGATGATGTGATAAACACCTCGTGTTTTCTAGCCTCAATATCCTCCACCCAGCTCGATCGTATGGCTCCGTGAGCAGCTGCGTAGATAAGGCTTAGAGGCAGCGAGCTCCCATCAGCGCAGCAGCAGGCTAGGAGTGTTAGAAACTCGCGTGATCTATCCTAGAGAGATGCTCAAACCTCCTTCTTTTCCTATTAACGCCTGCTAAATATCCTCTTGCTTCTGCCTATTAAGCCAATTAAGAAGCCCTTCTTATCTATATTGTATATATCTCGAGCCTCAAGGCGATATTCGGTGATCTTTTAATGCAGTAGCTCGAAGTAGAGACGGTATTTTGACTTAGAATCAGCCAGGTGGCGCGTACGATCCATAGCGGTGGTCCACTTTAAGATGAGGTAAATCTCGTGTTAGTTGATGAAGCGGGTAACCCAGCTCTCGCTGAGCTGCTGATGGGCTACTTCTGATGAGAAAATTCCTGATCATCTCTCTAGGAGGAGGTAGGCCTTGCTTAGTAAGCTTAGTTATATACCGTACAAGTTCTTGCTCTTAATGTGGCGCGAGGGATTGTTTGTTGGCTATATAGTCGTCTCTTGAGCGTGAAACGCCTCGATGTCTCCGGCTCAACACACTCCTTAATACGTTATACTTATTAGCATATTGCTAGTATATAATTTTATCTCCAAGCTCTCGCGATGGATTCAAACTTGGACTCCCGGAGAAGCAGTAAAGATAGTATTTGTTCCGGTATAGGACACGATTGAAGAGTTTAACATTCGCCGTCCAAAGAATACATATGAGCTTTGCAGTTGCTCATAAGATCGTTTTTCACCGTGCTACATCCACAATTATTTCGTTTATCCAAACTTCATAACCTAAGCTTCAACTCTGTGATTTTGTGGTGGGGTGGTGGTGCCGAGGATCGATAGGAGATCTAGATGGATCCGAGCGCCACAACCTAGGGCTGCAGATAGCGTGATGCACGCGTTTAAAAAGTAAGTGGAGACCATACATAATGTGGTCGAGTACGGATAGTTCAGTCAATGAAGATCTGGGCTTTCCATGACTTTCGCATCTTCCCCTTCCCATTCGAGTTGTATACGCGGTACATTCCGACAACAACGATTGCAAAGATATATTGTGCAGTCTTGCGAGGCTACAAGGTTGACTTTCATCATGCAAGAGTTCAGTTGAGAAGCGTTACCGAACCAATCAGCTCCACTGCGCCTTGCCGCAGCACACCAAACCACTACGAACGCCAAGATGCACCAGCCACCACCAGTGCAGCGAGACGCCAGAAAAGGTATGGCTCAGCTTGGTTGCTCGCAAACACGTCTGCGAGCTGAGATCCATTGTCCCCAACTCCTGCAGCCTGACCACCGAACCGTCCGCACAATCCACAGACATGGCGGAACCACTGTCAGTTCTTGCCAGCGTCGCTGGCGTGGCTACAGCCGGCGTCGCCATCTCTAAAATGATCTACGAAATTGCGCATACCGTAAAACACGCCCCCAAAGAAGTTTCGGAGATGGCGGGGGAACTCTCACTCCTGTCTTCCGTGTTGCGATACCTGCGCAGCGCGTTGGCGGAGTACATCGATGTTTGTAAACCGCGGCTTATCAAGGATATTCGAGGGACAGTGTCGAAAATTCACGACTTGCACAAGCAAATCAAAGACTTGACGAAGAACAGCACGAGTTCGTTTTACCGGGTGGGGTTGTTGTTTAAGAGTCCCAAAACGAAAAACCTACTCGCGCAGATTGAAGGGTTCAAGAACTCTGTGAGCGTTATGCTTACTACAGTTCAATTGGCGGCGGCCAAGAAGCAAATGAAGATGTATGTATCATTCGTACTTACTTAAAGACTGGAGTTTGAACGTGCTAACGCTACGCGTACAGATCTAAGGAGTTGGCTTCAAAGACCGACGTCGGTGAGATTCGACAGTTGCTTGAGAACCTGCTCTTCGCCAATCAAGACTCCATTAAACGGATTCGGCGGGAGCAAACATTAGGGATCGATCATTCGCCAGCACCACGGCCTGATGTACCACGTCGAAATCCAAGAGGGAGGTCAGACCTGGACAGTTTCTCTCCTTATGAACCATTAGTTCCCCTGCCCAATCATCCAAGAGGTAGACGAGGGCCGAGCTCACCGCATCCAGTAACACCTCGACCCGAACGGACTTATGGGTGGCCGGAGTCGACACCTGGTTCCAAGAACATTGGTGCGGATCACGTTGCGCCCATACCTCAACCGTCGTCTGTGAGACCAAGTACAAGACCGCGTGAATCGACCGCAAAAACGCCGAAGGGTGGAGTCGACAGCAAGACTTCTGTAGGCTCCCATGTCGATCCTCAACGACCCTCCTTTGTAGATTGGGACTCGGAAAAGGAGGAAGAGATTGGCACGGTACATTTGGACGATGGCGACAGCGAGAAAGACGGAGAGCCTACTTCTACGGCCCTTGTACCCGCGAATCACCACGATCCTGAGAAGCCGGCTCGACCAAAACGGGGACGTCGCAAGCGTGAAGAAGGACAGCGGAAGAGGGAAACGAGGTTTCAGATCCTACCCGGTCAGCGCAAAGAGCATACTCAAGAGGATCCGAACAGAGAGAACAACTCTGAGGAAGAAGACAAGTACACAGACGATAGTGACGATACTGAGTTCAGTGATGCAGCTGGCAGTAACGAAGATGCAGATCGATTCGTGGAATTTCTAGACACACTAAACCTCAAAGACAGCGCAGCTTCGAACAACATTAATCACAGCACGCCTTTGGCGCGGGAAAGAAGCCGCGATTATCGAGCAACCCTAGCTGACAACGCAAGAGCTTGGCGTGAAAAAGAATACTACGATCACAAGCAACGAAGAACAGACCTAACCCGCGAGATACGGTATGCTTCTCCAGACGATGCAGCTACTTGGTTGTATCGCCTGGTTTTTTTCAATGAAAAAAGTCAAGGAAACACAGGGTGCCCAAATGTAATCCAGCAACAAGACGTGGAAGTTCCACGCACAGCAGACCGGCTGTTGCTCCAATGGACAAAAGTGGAGCCGGCTACAGGCAATGTAGAGCATGACGCTTCCGATTCAGAGGCAACGATGGTCGATCCAGATCCATCCTGGAGCCGGCGACTACGGTCGCGCATCTCCCGCATCTCCCGTATAGCAGCTGAGGAAGAGCGGTCCATGCCTAGTGGTCCTCGCAATGTCTACTCCAACGGGTTTGATTACGAAGATCTCTCAGACAACCCATATGATCCCTATAGGTGTAGACACGGTCGTACCCGGCGCAATTGTGCAATTTGCAAAGAATATGACCCACGGGACCGAGACGAGACACCTGGATACGGGCCACCAGACCTGTCAACAATCAAGCTGCAAACAAGCACTTGATTGAGGCTTGACGAAAACTGCAAGTCAATCAAGTCAAGCCTCCGCCTAGTAATTTTGCAATCAATCAAGCCTTAGTGGCAAAGGCTTGATTGATTGGCTTGATTGGCTTGGTGTTTTAGCGTTAATTTTGGTGAGGCTATTAAGTTTGCTGTGTAAGCTATCTCGCAACAGTTTCATGGTGTTAAGTCTCGCTTACCAATACTAGTACTAATAACGTTAGTTAGCTATACTTCCGCGACGACCTTTACGTAATCACATTCTTTTTAGAGCCGCTAAAGCCTACTAATTCGCGTATACCAACGCGTTATTTCGTGTTATACTTGCCTCTATCGTCGCTATGCCGCCTAATCAACCCCCCAAACGTCCGCGCAGAGACGCGTTTACACCAAACAAGCGCGCTAGAGTCGCTGCTCGTGGTACAGAGTCGCAGCCTATCAACGTCAACAAGAGCCAACAGCCAGCTCAGCGTCTATCACCACGCAAAGCCCTAGCGACTGCCGCGTCCCAGGCCACCGAGCCGCCCACCTTCGAGTCGCAGTTGCGCGAGAGCCAGCCTAAAGCCGCTATCGTAGCACTAACTAAGGGCAGCAGCGCCGCGACGGTTGCTACAACTAAGGATGACGAGGACAGCAATAAGGATAGGGACAAGGGTCCTAATGAGCGCTTTGCCGATAACTTTGACGGCATAGACTGGTCGCGTTTGCCGCTATATTGCAAGCCTGTAGCCACCCAGAAGCAGCGCAAAAGCTAGATATACCGCTATAGATACCGCGTTGCGCTTATTAAGGACCCCGATCGTCTCTTTTTCGTCTGTCGCTATTACCACCAGCGCAAGTGGATAGACGCTAGGCAGGGCGGTATATACGAAACGACGCTCTTAACAACAACTTCAGCCCGCCATCTTAAGCAAGTTTGACGCGGCCATAGCCTTACAGCTCCTAGTAAAACGCACAGCACAATAAAGGCAGGCAAAGGTAGCCTGCGCGCCCTATTAAAAGCCGCTAGCGTTAAGGTATCGCAGGGCCTTACTAATGAGCTTAGGGGCTTTGATTGTCAGGCCTTTCGACATGCCGCAGTCGCCTGGCTTGTCGACGGCAACTACCCGCTCTCTGAGTTTCAAAGGCCTGCATTTAGACAGATGCTTAAAGCTGCAAACGTAGAGGCAGCTACGGCGTTGTAGACGTCTCACGCAAGCGTTTCACAGTACGTAATGCGTCGTTTCGACTTCATGTTACCCCAGGTTGTCATTGATCTGTCGAAGGCCCTTAGCAAGATTTACATCAGTTTTGACGGTTAGACAACAAAGGGCAGTAAACGCGGCTTCTTAGGCGTTGTTGCGCACTACGTTAACAGCGCTAGTGACCTTATAGACCTCCCTATCGCGCTGCCCCAACTAACAGGCGCCTATACTAGCGAGAAGATTGCAGAGGTTGTTAGCAAAACTCTACAGCAGTTCGGCATCAACTCGCGTACTGTTAGCTACTTTATGCTCAACAACGCTACTAATAACGACACTACTGTCCTTAGCATCGCGCAGCAGATGGGCTTAAATGCTGCCCATCGTCGCCTCCGCTGCGGTGCTCATACTCTTAACTTAATTGGTCAGGCTTTACTTTAGGGCAGCAATAATAATGCGTATGACAACGATAGCAGCGAGCTTGCTGTTAAGAGCGAGTTGTTACGCAACTAGCGCGAGGATAGGCCACTTAGCGTACTTCTTAGCGTAATCAACTACATTAAAACGCCGCAGCAGCTCGAGCTTTTTGAAAAGTTCCAGCGCCTAGCCAACGCTAAGCTGCCCCCTAATTAGCGCGAAGTACTTGCGCCTGTTAAGCCAGTCGTCACGCGCTAGAACTCGTATTATTCCGCCTTTAAGCGCGCTGTTAAGCTGCAGCCCGCTGTCAACGCTTATGCCCATCATCATATATGTCGCGTGCGAGATAAGGATACATATGCGATTAGCCGTGGCAACAAGCTACCTGAGACTGCGGTCTAGATGCGATCTAGCGGCCTCACAGCTACTGACTGGGCAGTTGTTACCGAGTATATCGACGTCTTGAAGCCGCTGAAGTCGGCAACAAAGCGCCTAGAAGGACGTGGCAAAGACGCTGAGGGTCGCGTTGGAGGCGGTCATTACGGTGCTATCGCTGAGGTTATCCCAGTCTTTGAGTATATACTTACTTACTACGAGCAACGCGTGGAAGCCTATGAGGCTGTTGACTATAACGCGCATGACGAAGCGCCCGAAGACCACCTTGCGATTAACCTCCGCGCTGCCTGGGCGAAGGCTAGTGATTACTACAACAAGCTTGACCTCTCACCCGCGTACTACGCTGCAACTCTACTCCATCCACGCTACAAAACGTACTGCGAGGTCGCTTGGGCGGACAAACCTGAGTGGCTAGAGGCTAATGACCGCGCGTTTCAGGAGCTTTGGGCAGAGTACAACACCTTACCGCGTGCTGTAAGGCGCCCAAAGGTTATCTCTAACGAGATCGACGACGCAATTGATGCTCTCCTAGACCCAGATGGCGCTATGGCTGCTACCGACGGCTATATGAATGAGTACGAGAGGTGGAAGGCGTGCGAACCGAAGGCTAGTAAGGGTAGCTACGCTGCGGTTCACCCTATTAAATACTGGGTAGGCTTGCGTGATCGCTACCCTAACCTTTCGCAGATGGCTATTGACGTGCTCTCTATCCCAGCTTCAAGCTGCGAGTGTGAGCGCATGTTTAGCGAGCTTGGCGATCTCCTTGAGCCTCGGAGACGGCAGATCTCACCTCAGTTATTAGCCGCTATACAGTGCGTACGGCGGTGGCATAGGGCTGGCTTTGATCAGGGCGGTAACGCTGCCGTAGCGACTATAACTGACGCTGATATAGACGCTATATACCGATTGTGCGATTGGGATCACGAGAACGAGTACTTAGTATAGGCAGTTGATTTGTATAACACCAAGCCAATCAAGCTTCCAATCAAGCCTCAAGCTGAAAACTATAAACAAGCCAATCAATCAAGCCTCGCAACAGATGTTCAAGCCTCAAGTCAAGCCGGAAGCTGAGACTTGATTGACTTGATTGTTGACAAGTCTGCGGGCCACGTAGACGTGGTCCGAGCCCTCTACGGAGCTCATGGACAGGTGATCCCATGAACCCTGGTGCCAGTCGACCGTTCCAGCCTGACGTTCCGTACGCGCATTACGAGCGGACTGAGCAAGAAAGAGCCTACCAAACATATCGCAATGAAACCCTGACGAAGGATATTGAACGACTCGAATCGACATTCCGCAGAACAGAAGCCTTGTACACGAAAGAAGTTGCTCACAGAGAGCGAATGGAGATGGCGCTCGAAAAGCAACACCAATACGCCCTAAAATCTATCCAGGATCAAGTCGAAGCGATGAAGAAGGAACACGACTCGACGGCCATCGCACTGGAGAAACAATTGGAACTCGACCTGACCAATGAACACGAAAAACGCTTAAAGTCTTTACGGGAGCATCTTGAAAAAGAGGCCAAACAGAATGCGGAAACCCAGCTGATACTGGAAAATCGCTGGCGTGCAACGCTAGAAGAACTCGAGAAGATGAAAAAGATGAAAGAGGAGGAATGGTACGCCAACGAGAAAAAGCAAGCCGAAGCCAAAGCGGAGAGGATGGAGAAAGCAAAAACAACACGTGCATGTCTCCAGATATCGACGCTCGCGGATCGAGAGCAAACTTGGAATCCAAAATTTCCCTCCCTCGGGATTTCAATCTCCCGCACCGATGGCGCGCCAAGTCGCATGTTCATCCACGGCACACTTTGCTTCACAAAACCCTTCCTCCCTTCTCTTAGCGAGCTGTATCAAGTCCTGAAGGCTCACGACTGGCAACCGTTATGGATGCGCGGTTCCAGTGGTGGAAAGACCTGGTTCTTGGGACGAACTCCTATTGCGGTGGATTTCTCCCGCCGAGATTACATGCCGCAAGTCGGAAAGCCTCCAGACCAGACTGGCGCACCCGTTCATGCAGGCGACATGGATGACGAGTACGCGGCTGTGGGTATGGGCTTAGTGGAGAGGGACGCAATCGATGAGCTTGACTTGGCGTACAAAGGACGGATGGATGGCCAGTATTATCGGTTTGACGTAGATCTGACTTACGTATGTCCGCCCTCCCCACAAGTATCTTATCTAACAATGATGATGTAGGAAGACGTCGAGAGTTTGATAGCGACTTCACTCCTCATGCGTGAACGACGGCATCGCAAAGCCTGTGTCGAAAACGTAGCCGGTCGCGCCGCATCTCCTTCGCGGAACTTATCTGCATCTCCTACTGGTTCCACGCCAACACTCGATGTGCCTAGGCCCTCGGGACGATCTACCACACCGCAACCTTCGAGGAGCGGAAATAGCGAAGAGAGGCCGAGAAGACACTATAAGAAGTCGAGTAGCTCGAGGAGAGATTTGTAGAGGACCAATCAAGCCATTGTATACATTTGGACAAGTACGCAACGGATGCACAATCCGATGACGCACTATGCGTGACTATGTTGTAGCAGCTTTGCTTCTTCATCAAGACTTAGAAGAGATGCGCAGCAACGCCCAGCACGACGGCCAAGACCTCACTGAGTTCTCGCCCCACAACAACCGTATCTGCCGCAGCTGTCGACGTAGGCGTCGAAGCACCAGCTCCAGATCATGTCGGCGAAGCAGAGCCTGAGGGCGACGAAGATCCGGACGACGAAGACCCGGCCGATGAAGGCGTGGTAGAGGTGGGTATAGTGCTGGCACTGCCTGATGGGGTAGGAGTAACACTACATGCATTATCAGCACTGAAGAGTACAAAATGAGTATCGGTCACAAGACCCTACCTTTGCGAAGCCGTAGGCGAAGCGGACCCATTAGCCGTGATCGAAGCAAGAGCGTCCTTATCGACGAGCTCCCCACCCTTGCTGGAAGACGAGGCCCGAAGCTGCAGACCTGCTCTCGCTCATGACCATGTTTGACAGGCAAGGGGTTCCCGAGCACGTGCTGTACGAAGGCAGGACCAGGCTGCAGTCTGAGGAAGCGGTGGCGCCGTTGTTCAGCTTTTCGCTGGTCAGGACGCAGACTAGGAAGCAGTCAGAGCAGCAGGTCGAGGGCCAGCTCTTTGAGATGCATAGCTTAGTGCAGCTGGCCACGAAGAAGTGGCTAGAGATGCACGATCAAGTCGGCATGTGGCAGAAGGCGTCGCTGCGGATCATGGCCGCAGCTTTTCCAGATGGGCAGTATGAAACATGGACAGCTTGTCGGGCTCTCCTTCCGCACTCGAGGAAGGTCCTCGGCTACAGTGTGGGAGAAGATGAGGCAAGGCTACATGGAACCATGATCGCGACTAACACCGCATGGTACCTGATGCTGGTAGGAGAGTATACAACATCGGAGAGGATTGGGAGAAGTGCCATAGTGGCACGTGAAGAGATACTTGGGCCAGAGCACCCTGACACGCTCACCAGCGTCAGCCAGCTTGGGTCGGTGTTGGAGAGGCAGGGCAAGTACGAAGAGGCGGAAGCGATGCATCGACGAGCACTGGAAGGATATGAGAAGGTGCTTGGGCCAGAGCACCCACACACACTCACCAGCGTATACCACCTAGCTTTCCACTTTCATCGACAGCAGCACTACCCTGCTGCATCTGAACTCTATCAACGAGCATACAACGGGTATGTCAAGGCTCTTGGTGCAAGGCATCCCACTACTGTAGCATGCTTCAACCATCACCAATCCGCTGTCAAGCATAGGGAGGTTTGACTAGTTTTCTAAGTCCACTACAGCGCAGCCAAGAATCGATTCTAGGGTTTATAATGTCTTATCCACCCTCTGTTGTGCTCTCTTCTCCTCATTCGACCTCTGTGCTAGATAGGCGTAGTGCACATACACCATGTGATACATTACACGACGGTGAGGCAATGTACAACAGCGTGTACTAGATACCTGACTAGATGTACCATGGTTGTATGACTCACTGATCTTAGCTCGCATGTGCAGCGTCTCTTCGACGCTAGCAAGGATATGGCCGACCCGCTTCGGCCGCCCTCCCTGCTAGCATGATCGAGGCGTTCATCCACTCCCGATAAGGCTGTAGTGGTAGGTCTTCGACAAATACTTCAGTGTGGCAAATCCGTCAGGCAATACATTTAATTATTCATGTTAATCCGCGGTCCTCTGGGCAATAGATGCTATTGAGTCATGTCGATTTGAGCAAAGAGGAGAGGATGTGCAGATTACAGAAGGAGTGGTCATGACTGCTGCAGGCAATGAATACAGCGGAGAAGAGGTGATGAAGCTTCTGCTCGAGCAAAGAGGAGAAGATGTGCATATCACAGAAGGAGTGGTCATGACTGCTGCAGGCAACGAATACAGCGGAGAAGAGATAATAAAGCTAATGCTTGAGCAAAGAGGGGAAGCTGTGCAGATCACAGAGGAAGTAGTCAAGGCTGCTGCAGGCAACGAATACAGAGGAGAAAAGATTCTAAAGTTTCTGCTTGAGCAAAGAGGGGAGGATGTGCAGGTTACAGAAGAAGTAGTCAAGGCTGCTGCGGAGAATAGACGGAGAAGAAACGAGATTATGAATCTTCTGCTCAAGAAAAGAGGGAACAATACCTGCATTAAAGATGGAGCAATACTGCAAATCGCAGCCCTATTTGATTACGCAGCGTTAAGAGTTGCGTTTGAGCGAAAAGGGGATAACATCCAGATCACAGAAGAGCTAGTTAAAGCTGCTGCAGGGAATAGATGGAGAGGAGAAGAGATCATGGGGCTTCTACTTGAGCAACGAGGGGAGGATGTGCAGATCACAGAAGAAGTGGTCTATGTTCCTGCGAGCAACCGACATAGCGCATAAAAATTCATCAAGGCTTTGCTCAAGCAGAGTGATGATGATCGTTTACTTGCAGAGTCGGTGCGCATTATCAATTTATTACTGCGCAAGAGAGTTGCAGTGAGGTTTTATAACAGCAAAGAAGTGATGATGCTGCTTGACTTGCTGCAGAGAGTGTACAACAGGTTCTCAGCGGTACGAATCAAAGTGTAGGATGTAGGCGAACATATGTCCTTTGTCAACGTAGAGATGTAACTTGTAGTCGTTGATCTAAAATATTGTCAGCGTTCTGGTCGATTCAACGAGACCGCTACGTAGTTATTAAGATGGGTTATCCGTTTCCAAATATCAGTACTGTCGCTGACGCAACGCATTGCCAAAGGCGAAGAAGAGACGAGGTGGCTGATGGCTGGTGGCTAGTGGAAGTGGCTGGAGAGACGACGTTTCTGGGTCTTTTGTTATCTCTGCCTTCGGGCATATGGCTGACTGACCTAGAACTAATCTAGGATAGCCTACTGCAAGCGAGGCAGGGGTAGGCGTAGGATGAAAACGTGCGCAGTGTGTACGAGGTGAGACCGGTTTTACAAGGTGCTGTACAAGCGCGAAAAGAAGTGTAGATGAAATATATTTAGGGCGGTTGTACCTTACACATGATGTTGTCAGCATAAAGGCGTCAAACATGATAGTCTGTTAGCACCATTAGCAGGCCCGATGGCCGACCCGCACCGACCACACCCTTGCCATGAACGTCGGCACCGGATGGCATTGCGAAGAGATAAAAGGGTCATTATCACCAACAGGACGGCATGCACCCTCAAATAGCATAGTACCTTGCTAAGCATAGCTACTATCAGATCTCTGCTCTACCTGACCCAGCGGTCATAAGCATCGACGATCCGAACTCCTTATCGCCCTCAGAGATTAAATTGAAGCACCTTTCCACCGCCCTAATAATTGCAGTGCTTATGCGAGGAACCATTCGTTGTATGACCGTAAGACAGCTGTATCCCCACGACATGCAGACCCTTTCCACCTTTGTACGCGCTTACAACGACAGCATTCTTCCAGTTACATTCACTCTACTTGCTGAAGCCTAGACTCGGATCTTGGTATTCTGTATCATGCGTATATGTATCGGTTGCGATGTGCTCGAGAAGTACGAGGACGTGGGGGGTCGGACGAGGGATCAACGGCGGGTCTGCGGAGCTAGGGGGCGGCGCGACGGTTTATCTCTATAGCATAGAAGCGTTCACGTTAGCTATAGTCGTCCATTGCACTGCGTCTTGAGGTTGCACGATGGCTGCATCGGAAGCTGATTGCGGTTTGGATGCTGGGCGTGTTCGTTGACATGAGCTATACGCCAGGGCCTTCAAACCCTAGCCCTGCTCCTAATCCGAGCCGATTTTCTGGAGCGCTCGGCAAAAGCGTCGCACAGCCGCATAGCCACATAGCCACAAGTCCAACAGTCGTTCCAAATAAGTTACAGGCTGGCGTGATTTGTCCCCCCGTTTTTGAGATTTGTCCCCCGCCGAAGTACCGAAAACGGCAACTTTTGCGCTCCGCAATGCAATTTCACTGCATCTCTAAGTGTAACTTTTATCTTTGAAGCTTGCAATACGTTTTACATACACTAAAGTACCCCTCACCTACATCTTGTAACTTCCGACAGCGATGGGAACGAGCTAAATGGAGTTGAAGTTGGCGATTTCTTCGAAAATGTCACCAACTTGAACATGCAATTGAAACACAACACAGGCTAATCTTTGGCTTTAAATTCTTAGGGAAGCTTTAGGAGGCTCTAGAATAATTTATGAAGTTTAAAAACCTACTTGCAATTTTGCTGGTGTTAAGTTGTGTGGATGCAAAGCAATTCGGTACTTCGGCGGGGGACAAATCTCAAAAACGGGGGACAAATCACGCCAGCCAGCGTGCTATGTCATCATGTATCGAAAAACGCGCTATCCTCAATCTCGCTCCCACAGCCACCCGTCTCGTGCTATCTTTAGCTTACGTTGTCCACGGTTGTCCGCCGTTGCGAGCCGTCGATGTTCGCGCTGTGCGCTATCCATCAACGTTATTAAAGAGTTCGTACGGCTGAGGAGTTCGCATCACCAAGGAATTTCGCACATGCTTCGATATCTTTTCCAATTGAGGCGGGCCACAGCCTTGTGTCCGACGTTCTGGCGCATGCATTCAGCCACGCCTGCCCCGCCCAAGGTGTGATGCGACACGCTCACCACACTTAGAACACCGCAGCGAACGCCCGCCTTAGCTCAGAACACAATCGCAGTCTGCAGTTCTATAGCGCGATAATACAGTGCGGTTAATCCCTCTCTTTCCTTTTCTTGTAGCTAACGCTTAGGGTGCGAAGGCCATGATACACAGCCTCGTCGCCGCACGCTCGTTCTACTAGGCTGCCGCGTTGAGCCTACTGCGCTTTGTTCCTGCTACATGCGCCGACCCTGCACCCGTACAACGCGATGCGTCTTCTCAAGTATGGAGAAAACGAAGACCTCTCTATCGCCGAATTCGACGAGGACACAAAGCCGCCGTATGCGATACTCTCCCACAGGTGGGGAGCGGAAGCGGACGAGGTAACCTTCGAAGACGTGGCAGGGAACACAGGCAAGAACAAGCCCGGCTATGCGAAGATTCGCTTCTGCGGGGAACAAGCGCAGCGAGATGGCTTGCAGTACTTCTGGGTCGATACTTGCTGCATCAACAAGGCAAACAAGGCTGAGTTGTCGCTGGCTATCCAGTTTATGTTTTGTTGGTACCGCAACGCAGCGCGATGCTACGCCTACCTGTCGGACGTGTCTATATCACAGTCTGAAGCGGACAAAGAATTAAAGGTGCCGGCGTGGGAAGCAGACTTCCGCAGAAGTGAGTGGTTCGTCCGTGGCTGGACGCTCCAGGAGCTTCTCGCACCTAGCTCAGTCGAGTTCTTCTCACGGGAATGGGAGAAGCTCGGTGACAAGAGGTCACTGGTACACGGGGTTCACGAGGTCACCGGCATTCCGCATCTAGCGCTGCAAGGAACTCCATTATCTCGATTTAGCATCAACGAGCGGCTGCGGTGGAGTGAACATCGGCATACCACACGTCCAGAAGACAAAGCGTACTCACTATTAGGTGTCGTCAATGTTGACTTAGCGCCGTGCTATGGCGAAGGTCTAGATGGAGCGTTTAGGCGGCTTCACGACGAGATCGATAAGACAAAACGATGCATCCAAGACTTACGCGACACAGACTCGCGTGACGACAAGAAGCGCATTGAGGACACGAAGGGCGGGTTGCTGAAAGACTCGTACCGTTGGGTCCTTCACAACGATAGTTTCCGACAATGGCACGAAGACCCGCAGAGCCGACTGTTGTGGATTAAGGGTGACCCTGGCAAGGGCAAGACCATGCTGCTCTGTGGTATTATCGACGAGTTGCAAAGTTCTGTGCCCCAAAGTGCCCTACTGTCGTACTTCTTCTGTCAAGCGACCGACGCGCGCATCAACAGCGCTACGGCCGTGCTACGAGGGCTGTTGTACATGCTTGTGAGCCAGCAGCCATCGCTTGCATTGCACGTCCGCAAAAAGTACGATCACGCGGACGAGACCATGTTCGAGGATGCAAACGCGTGGGTTGCCCTGGCGAAGATCTTCACGGACGTGCTGCGGGACCCGAGCTTGACCACTACGTACCTGATCATCGACGCGCTAGACGAGTGCGTCACTGACTTGCCAAAGCTACTTGACTTCATCACAAAGCAGTCGTCTGCCTCTTCTCGCGTCAAGTGGATTGTCTCTAGCCGCAACTGGCCAGAGATAGAGGGACGCCTAGAGCAGGCAGGCCACAAGCTCAGGCTGAGCCTCGAGCTAAATGCAGCGTCTGTGTCGACGGCGGTCCAAGTCTTTATCGATCAAAGGGTCTCTGAGCTCGCGCAGCAGAACAAGTACGACGAGCGAACTAAGCGCGCTGTGCTCGAGCATCTAGCATCGAATGCAAACGACACCTTCCTCTGGGTGGCGCTGGTGTGTCAGCACCTTCGAGCGACGGCGAAGCGAAACGTTCTGAGGAAGCTCGAGTTGTTCCCGCCTGGACTGAACGCCCTGTACGAGCGGATGATGCAGCAAATCAGCAAGACGGACGATGCCGAGCTTTGCAAGCAGGTGCTAGCTGCGGTCGCACTCGTGTATCGGCCAATCACGCTCGAGGAGCTGGTGACCCTTGTCGAGCCGCTCGAAGACGCAGCCGACGACACAGAGTTACAGGAGATTATCGGCCTTTGCGGTTCGTTCCTTACCTTACGAGAGCACACTGTGTACTTCGTGCATCAGTCAGCTAAGGACTTTCTCCTTACTGAGGCGGTTCAAGACGTTTTCCCAGCCGGACTGGAGGCCACCCATCAGGCCATCTTCGCCAGGTCACTTCAAATCATGTCCACGACCCTGCGACGGGACATGTATGGCCTTAAAGCGCTAGGCACACCTATCGACGACGTTGAAATGCCTGAGCCAGACCCGCTAGCAGCGTTGCGTTACTCGTGTGTTCACTGGGTCGACCATCTGTGCGACTCGAACCCTACAGCTTCCGCAACCTATGCAGAATGTCTGCGAGATGGAGGCGTTGTAGATAGATTCTTAAGGGAAAAGTTTCTGTATTGGCTGGAGTCTCTCAGCCTTTGCAATAGCATGTCGAAAGGCGTAGTCTCGATGAAGGAGGTACGGATGTTAGTGCAGGTGTGTCCACAACAAGTGACCTGCGAGACATCCTTTATACTGACAGTAGCTAGGGACAGGAGGAGGCAACTTCATTTACTCAGCTTGTGTACGATGTATATCGATTCGTTATGTACCATAAACAAGCGATCGAGAGTAGCCCTCTTCAGGCGTATGGATCTGGGCTGTTGTTCAGCCCAAAGCAGAGTGTAGTGAGAAAGCTGTTCCAGCACGAAGGGCCAGAAGGTATCGCTCTCAAGCCAGGCATGAGCGACAGATGGAGCGCGTGCCTGCAGACGCTCGAGGGCCATAGCAGTTTGGTCTACTCAGTGGCCTTCTCGCATGACTCGACGCGGCTAGCATCGGCGTCCTGGGACAATACCGTCAAGATGTGGGATGCGAGCAGCGGCGCGTGTCTGCAGACGCTCGAGGGCCATAGCGATGGTGTCACCTCTGTGGCATTCTCACATGACTCGACGCGGCTGGCATCAGCGTCCTGGGACAGGACCGTTAAGCTCTGGGATGCGAGCAGTGGTGCGTGTCCGCAGACGCTCGAGGGCCATAGTCAAACTGTTAGGTCAGTGGCCTTCTCGCATGACTCAACGCGGCTGGCGTCGACGTCTGACGACAGGACCGTTAAGGTATGGGATGCGAGCAGCGGCGCGTGTCTGCAGACGTTCGAGGACCATAGCAAGTCTGTTACCTCCGTGGCCTTCTCGCACGACTCAACGCGACTAGCATGGGCGTCGTGGGACTGCACCGTCAAGATGTGGGATGCGAGCAGCGGCGCGTGCCTGCTGACGCTCGACGTTGGCAGGCATCTTTACAATCTGTCATTTGATAATACTGGTGTATGTCTAGTTACGGAAATTGGATCTCTCGATGTAAGTACATCTATGGGTTTTGGTGCCGAGAATGTTACAGTACTTCAACATCCCCAGTATGTGGACGCGGGCGTAAGTCCAGACAGCACATGGATTACGTGTGACGGCAAAAACCTGCTCTGGATACCACCCGAGTATCGACCATCATGCTCGTCTGTGTGGGGGGATACGATTGGCATGGGTGTCGGATCAGGAAGAATATGGATTTGTAGTATCAACCTTCAAATGTTTTCCTAGCTACATCCGTGAGCAAGGACGAATAGTCCGTTAGCTTCGTTATCTTATATTCTCTTTTTCTTGACTCCTGTTTTATAGAGGGGGGGACAGGAATGCTTATGTATATATATGCGGTAGTTTTACCACATCGGAATTTCGGGAAACGTTAACGAAACCTGACAGTCGCGGTCTTGTAACACTAAGATAATAGTCACGTGCTAGCGCTAACTGTCACGATGTTCCAACACCACAGGTTCCAGCCACAGGCAGGCAAGCCACCGGGGACCCTTCGGGCCACCGTCGGCCCTCACCAGCCATAATCACGTGCCGTAGGTATATATTATCCCTCTAGGAGTCTTGATAGCTCCTCAAGGATTCGTCTCAATACAAGCCTATACCCATATCTCAGTGCCTGCCCAAGTACTCCTCACACGGCCACCTTGTCACGAGCAAGCCCCACGCTACTTGGCCATGCATACCAAAAAGGTGCAGTGAGCCGAATAGGCAAGCTGCGCGTGGGATAGCATATATACTCGTCACACACCTGTTGACTAAGTGTTAGGAGTACTTGGGCAGGCGCTAGGATATTGGTGTAGGCTTGTATTGAGACGAATCCTTAAGGAGCTATCAAGACTCCTAGAGGGATAATGTCACGGGGGCGGCAGGCAGGGAAGATAGGTGCACGTGATCGGTGTATTCACTACGTATAGCTGACAGTACTAGGTCAGGCTAGGACAAGGACGTAGCTCAAGGAGCTTACGACGGGACGCGTGCGCGCAGGAATTTCAGTGTTGCAGAATCCGGGTGCGCTAGTCAGCACCCGGATTCTGTGCAGCCAATCAGCGTAGGCGACACTCTTGGCGTCCCTCACCAGCCAGCGCCGTGACAGATAATATATACCTACGGCACGTGATTATGGCTGGTGAGGGCCGACGGTGGCCCGAAGGGTCCTCGGTGGCTTGCCTGCCTGTGGCTAGGATCTGTAGCGTTGGAACATCGTGACACTAAGTAAGATAAAGGGAATACAAGGGACGTGCACAGTCGTTTTGGCGAGAATCGGCGATCGCCTTGATTGGTTGGTGTTAAGTAGGAGTACTAACAGGGGTCAAGACTCTGCATGAACAGAGCGCTACTCGTAGTCCTGTGGTGAACTAGAAATCCTTAGCGATACTATCAGATTCGTAAGCTTAGCCGGGGGCGTTTTATAGGTCGCGACGTCAGTATTAGCTGTGTGGTGGCCCTATGGTGGGCAAGGCTCGTTTTTGCTATGAAGATAGGTTCTTCGCGCATCAGGCGGGAAGGCGTCTATGCGAGCGTAATTTTTGTATTGCTAAGATTTTAGAAGTGTAGAAGTAGCCTTATGATAACACGGAAGAGAAATATTGATAGAAAAAAGACGTGCGCAAGCATTCTCTTGCATTGAAGTCAAAGTACCTGTGGGTTGTTCCGTTACGGCGGTTGTTCCGTTACGCGTGGATGCACGTTAGGTGAGGAATGGATGCTGCACGGTACTCCAATCGCCACTGGGGTACACGCGATACGGGCGACCCCATGGTGGGGTAGATTAGAGCTAGGGTCTCGAACTAAACCGAACAGCTCCGCACCGGGAATCGGCCCGAGACCCACAGAAACTGGATCGGACACGGCCAGCTGTGCGCCTAGACCGGTCTGTCACATGGTCAAAGCTGCTAATTAAGCGAGTAGGTTTGGAATTGGACCCATTCACTGTGCCTATGTAAAAAACTCCGCGCACTCCATCTTACCTGCCTAGAGAAAACAGCACCTCTGACACTTGTGAGATGGCGGATCGTGCAGGTGTATACAAGAGGATGTCAAGTTGACCAGTAACACGCTTGAGCTGGAGTTGGGTAGAGCCCTAATCTATGTAACGGGCTAGAGCCCAGATGCTATAGTGATCCTCGGTGGAACCTTCGGAGCCTCCTCGGCATTCTAGAAGCTTCAAGATGCTACGCGTACGATAAGCTAAACGTATATAGATATCGCAGCACCATAGATAGGTTTTCTTCTTTATCGAATACAATCCTGTTACCAGGCATCGGCATACTTTGCGCAGCCCCTTACATTTTGTATTCGATCGCTTTTGAGCAGCTGGTGCGGCCGTCCCCCAGTGCTCTACCAACGGAACGATTGCGAGACCTGCTTCTAAGCAGTGAGCAACGCAACAGAACGACTGCGAGACCTGCTTCTAAGCAGTGAGCGACACAACAGAACGACTGCGAGACAAGCAGTAAATAGGTAGCTGGTGTGGTCGTCCCCCAGTACCTAGCGAACGATCAAGCGACGCTAGTGTAGGGACCTCAACGGTTGAACGCCTACCCGAGCATTCTACAATGGAAATAGAGATAGATAGCCCTCGTAACGAGGCTTCAATCGCACAACGGAGCGACGAGAGACAGTCGCAACCACTGGACACGAATACTGCAGCGATGATGCAGCAGATGATGCAAAAGATGATGAATCAAATGAGCGAGCTTATGACACGAGTTGAGAAGGTCGAGACAAAGGACAAACCTGCCGCTAATACCGTACCCGCGATGCCGACAGTTACGCCTACTACGAACACCGAGTACACATACGAGCCGAAAGGACTCAAGGACCCTGACGCGTTTGACGGTACTAGGAGCCAGTACTTACCATGGAAGTACTAAGTCGAGGCGAAACTAAGATCTGAACCACGACGATTTCATACGAGCCGCCTTGCGATCGATTACACCTTCAGCCGTACTACAGGTGATGCTAGGGCACGGATTTTCCCCTAGGTATCAATGCATGCCGCTTCAAGCACGCTCGACCAGTTCTTTCAACACCTTGACGGCGCTTTTAAGGACGCACACATGGCTGAGACAGCAAGGAACAAACTCCAGAATATGCGACAGAAGACAGACAACGTGCGTGACTTTGTACAAGATTTTAACAAGGAGGCCCTTACTGCCGGCCTATTCGATTATGCTATCCTTAAGAGCATGTTCCTAAACGCTCTTAGTCACGAATTGCGGACAGCTCTTGCAGGCACTATCTTCTCTGAACAAGCAACAATCGAGGAAATGCAATCACATGTCGCTGCTGTTTCAGACAACCTCTGGCGACTTAAGCTAAAGAGTAAGAAGAAGACTCTCCCGCTGCAACATAACGCCCTCCCAACGGCCCTGCCTCTAGACACTATGGACTAGGAGCCAAGCCGAACACAGACTCAACGAGCTACTTGGGTTTCTCAGAAAGAGATCGACCGACGACGACACGAAGGACTGTGTTTGCGGTGTGGAACGAAAGGACACCTTATTAGTTCTTGCAAGCAGAAGCCTGCACTCAACCTATCTTATTAACTAACCTAGGCTACGAAGGCAACAAGAAAGCTAAAAGAAAGGCATGGAACCTACGTTAATGAAGACAGTACAACAGCAGTCAACTCAGACAGCGAGTCGGAAAAAGAATAGCTCCTAATCAAAGTCGCGACTAGGAGCAACTACGAGTTAGCAAAGACACAACAAAGGAATGGGACAAGTTTAAAAAAGAGAACATGTTGGCACCACCAATTACAGTACATGTACTAGTGAATCAATCTAAGTACACCTCAGCTCTAATCGACTCTAGATGCCTCTCTTACGCTCTTATAACCCGTTCCTTCGTACGACGAGCTAAACTCAAGCGCATACCTATCCCACGCAAACCTATTGTTAGTGTCAACGACCAGGTAAGCTGGGTAGACGAAGTTGCGAAATTTACGTTTGATATAAATGGCTACACGGAGACTAGATTCGCATACGTTACGCCGAACAACGCTGAAGAAGACATTATCCTAGGACGCCCGTGGATGAACCGGAATAAAGTTACGATTGCTCCCGCGAAGAAGTCGATATACCTACACGCCTTAGGAATCAGAATCCGCAGCCAAGAGGGCAAGGCTCACCCGCTCGAAATCCGAGAAGTTTGCGCTACCGAGTTTCAGAGATTAATGAACATCGCTCGACGGAAGAAGCAGAACCCGCAAGAAGTTGTCCAAATATTTTCTGCCTCACTAGCAGATATCAACAAGGCCCTAGCGCCTAAGCCTAAGGTAGACGTCCTCGCCTTAGTTCCTGAACGATGGAAAAAGCACCTATCGCTTTTTGACCCTAGAGAAGCAAGCAAACTACCGCCCCATCGCCCTAGAATTAATTACGCATTAGAACTGCAAGAGAAGGATAGGAAGAAGCCAGAAGCCCCGTAGGGACCTCTATACAACATGTCGAGAGGAGAACTCTTAGTGCTACGGAAGGAGCTTGTATCCCTCCTCGACAAAGGCTTTATACAAGCAAGCAGCTCCCCTGCTGCGTCACCAGTTTTATTTGCGAAGAAGCCAGGAGGCGGATTACGACTCTATGTTGATTACCGAGCGCTGAATGCTCTAACGAAGAAGGACCAGTATCCTTTACCACTAATTCAAGAGACACTAAATAATGTCGCAAAGGCTAAGTGGTTTACGAAGCTAGATGTTATCGCAGCCTTTCACAAGATCCGCATTCGAGAAGGAGACAAATAGCTTACGGCTTTCCGTACACGTTTTGGGTTATTCGAATAGCTAGTTACCCCATTTGGGATAGCAAATGCCCCTAGCACCTTTTAACGGTACATCAACTAGACGCTTCGCGAATATTTAGACGACTTCTGCACAGCCTATCTAGACGATATACTTATCTATACGAACGGCTCTCTCCGACAGCATCGCGAGCACGTTAACAAGGTCCTTACACGATTAAAAGAAGCTGGCTTATACGTCGACATTAAGAAGTGCGAGTTCGAAGTAAAGACTACGAAGTACCTTAGCTTTATTATTAAAGCTGGGAAAGGCACTCGAATGGACCCTAAGAAGATTAAAGCTATTAAAGAGTGGGAAGCGCCAAAGACAGTTAAAGGAGTACGAAGCTTCCTTGGATTCGCCAACTTCTACAGACGCTTTATCAGGAACTTTAGTCAGATCGCTGCACCCCTTACAAGACTTACAGGCGATGTCAGCTTCCGATAGACAGCAGAAGAGCAGAAAGCTTTCGATACGCTAAAGGAGGCCTTTGTTTCTGAACCAGTGTTAGCCCAGTTCCAACCAGATCGCGACACTGTAATAGAGTGCGACTCGTCTGGTTACGTTACAGCTGGCGTATTGTCCCAATACGACGAGAACGGAGTACTGCGCCCTTGCGCCTACTTTTCGAAGAAGAACACGCCAGCCGAGTGCAACTACGAGATTCACGACAAGGAATTACTAGCGATAATCCGAGGACTGGAAGAGTAGGACGCTGAACTCCGATCGGTAGAGAAGTTTACGGTAATCACTGATCACAAGAACCTAGAGTACTTTATGAAACTACGAATGTTAAACGAGAGACAGGTTCGCTAGTCACTTATCTTGGGCCGATACAATATGGAGATCCTCTACAGACCGGGCAAGTAGAATATTTGGGCAGATGCGTTATCCCGACGAGAGCAGGATCTGCCTGCAGACGCCAACGATGATCGACTACAGAAGAGAATTATACAAGTCCTAAAACCTACTACGTCAGATTACAGAGAAGAAGATAAAGAGAAGGATGTAATGGCTATGTCTATAAGAGTCCGCGCCCTACTAGCTATTATCCGAAGGAGTGACAAAGGAAACGAACAAAGCCAGCACGATATTGAAAACCTCTGGAATTGCGCAGTTAACAACGACGAAGCATACCAAGAAGCACGCCAAGCAGTAGCGAGCCAGCAACGACGATTTCCTGCTGCACTACAAATTAAGTGCTCGATTGCCGAATGCAAGGTCGAAAACCAGGTCTTGTACTACCGAGACCGAAAATGGGTGCCTAACTACGAGCCACTACGGACGTCCATTATCGAACAGATTTACACCTCTGTTATCACGGGCCACCCTGGCAGAGAGGTCATGTACAAGATGATCGCAAGAGACTTTTTCTGGCCTAGGATGTCTAATAACATCCGACGATATATACGAAACTGCGATACATGCGGAAGGACGAAACTATAGAGAGACGGCCTCCAAGGCCTACTAAAGCCTCTTCCAGTGCCCGAACGGATTTGGAAGGAGATCTTAATTAACTTCATCAATAGGTTACTAGAGAGCCAAGGCAAGACGAGCCTAATAGTGGTCACCAACCGCTTAAGTAAGGATGTAGTATTTGTGCTGTTAGCAAATACGGAGACTGAAACAGTGGTACAAGCCTTCATCACGTACGTTGTCGCATACCACTAGGTTCCTAACGCGATTACGTCAGATCGGGGTACCCAATTCGTTAGCGGGTTGTAGACAAGACTCTGTAAGGTTCTTCAAATTAAGCGACGATTATCTACAGCATTCCACCCTCAAACTAATAGAGCCACGGAACGAATAAACAGCACCTAGGAGACGTACATAAAGGCCTTCGTTGACTGGGCCCAAGGTAATTGGGCATCCCTGTGCCCGTTAGCGCAGATCGCGATAAAGGGAAGGGACGCAACAACAACGAAAGTGTCTCCTTTCTTCCTTCAGCACGGTTACAATATCGATCCATTGCAATTGGAGGTCCCTGCAGACACCGATCGACGAAGACACCCTGCACACGAACGACCCGATCGAGAAAAGGCTAAAGCTATAGTTACAAAACTACGTCATCTGCTAGAACTAGCACAAGCGTCTATGGCAGAGGCACAGCAGGAACAGGAACGACAAGCAAATAGACACCGCCGAGAGGCCCCACAACTACGCGTCGGCGACAAAGTATAGCTACAGTTAGGAAAACAGTTTGCTACTGGCCGGAGATCAAAGAAGCTCGATTGGAGAAGCGCGAAATACACGGTGATTGAAGTAATAGACACCCACACGGTCCGCCTTAATACACCTCTAGGCCCTCACAATGTTTTCCACGTTGACCGGTTAAGACTAGCATCATCAGACCCATTACCGAGCCAGTCAAGAGACAATAACCAACCGCTACCGATTTAGGTAGATAGTGACGGTGCAGATATGTGGGAAGTTGAAGATATCCTGGCAGAAATCTGTCGGCGGCGTGGACGCGGAACGAAATGGTGGTATGAGGTGAAGTGGAAGGGTTACCACCTGCCAACAATAGAGCCTAAGGAGAACTTAGAGAATACTGAAGCAAAGATTCGATGGGAACAGTTCACGGAACCTTATCGAGACCCTAGAACAAAACTCCTTCCCGCAGGATTCCGCCGCGGCTCAAACGAGATCCATCTAGACGCTTTAGAGAAAGGAGGGGGGTAATGTAACGGGCTAGAGCCCAGATGCTATAGTGATCCTCGGTGGAACCTTCGGAGCCTCCTCGGCATTCTAGAAGCTTCAAGATGCTACGCGTACGATAAGCTAAACGTATATAGATATCGCAGCACCATAGATAGGTTTTCTTCTTTATCGAATACAATCCTGTTACCAGGCATCGGCATACTTTGCGCAGCCCCTTACAATCTAGCATATGGTTCAATACTTATCATATGGCGCTAGCCTGAAATCTACCGTCTGAAGCGAGACTGCGAGGCTGAGCAAAGTCTCACAGCTCTGGAGGGGTTGGTCCCTATGCTATTGGCACGTTAGACTGCAGAATTGATTCAGCTGATCTGCCTCTGTCCTTCTGCAAGATGACTTCAGCCTTAGGTATTTAGAGTGCACAGCTCCATGCAACACGTAGTTACACCACCCCTGTCATCATCATCATCATCATCATCATCATCATCATCATCATCACTATTGGTTAATTATATCAGCTGAACAGATTCTTACGCCTACGGTGCTGATGGGGAGCGGGTCGACCCCTGCAGAACTGTGCGAGCTTGCCCCGCCGCCTCATTGGAGGGGTCAAACTTTACAACTCAGCCTCGAGCATGTTACCGGTCAACTTGACTCCCTCTTGTATACAACTGATTACAGAATTCGCCATCTCACAAAGGGTGTGGCAGGAGCGGATCGGCCACCACCTTGCTAGCGTGATCGAGACGTTCATCTATTTTCTCAAGATATGGTTGAAGCATGATCGGTCTAGTCGCCTGCAAACTTGCCTTTTGCTGCAGTCCAACCACCGCTTATCTGCCTTAGCGCGCCACACTTTGGGCTGTGCAACTATGAAAGAGCTAGTATTTTTCGAGTCACCGCACAGGCCCTCAAAGCCACTGTGGCTGGTGACTCAATAAATACGAGCTCCTTCGTAGCCGCACATGCCCCGCGTGGAGCTCGTTCAGACACCCTCACCACCTTAGAAAACCAAGGAGATGCTAGCCATACTAGAATCAACTCACCACTCTTGTGAGCTCCCAGATTTGATTCTTTACTACAGTCTAAGGGCCCCGTTGCCCTGTATACTCGTTAAGCTCGATAGCTAGGACTCATATTCTCAGCCGACGAGCGAGCTGCTATCCACTTCGCTCAGGCTGCTGCGTTTGAGCCTCACAGACCCGAGTCCTGCCGCATGCGCCATTCAAAACTCCTCGCGATGCAATGCGTCTTTTGCGACGCTGCGGCGCTGGCGAGTTCAGCCTTACTGAGCGTCTGAGAGGAGAAGATACGATCCCACCCTATGCAATACTGTCCCATACATGGGGAGCGGATCCCGATGAGGTCACCTTCGAAGACATGACAAACGGCACAGGCAAGGACAAGGCTGGCTATGAAAAGATCCAGTTCTGTGGCGAGCAGGCAAGACAAGATGGCTTGCAGTACTTTTGGGCAGCGCTCCTAATAGTGTAAACAGTATGCATACTATTAGTATTCGGCTTGCCTAATTAGGCTAGTTTCCGCTCTGATTTTCTTATGCGGATATTCAAGCTGTAGATCAATTTGCTTGTTCCCTAGTCTGAGCGTGAGCCAAATACTAATAGTATACGAGTTTAGCACTATTGGGAGCCCTGCTCGTGATCTAGGAGCTTAAGAAGCCCGAGAGCTAGGACCCTCTGCAGGTGGCGGAAGATGCGCCTCTAGGCCTGCAACAGCTGTACGATCGCATGGTGGATTAGATCTAGCAGCTTACGAAGAGAAACTCAGAGATATGCCGGCTCCTGCTTTCCACTGCCACTATCGCATGCTGCCTGCTTCACCTACCCGAGGTGGGTAGCTTGTGCAGATTGTTAGGCCAGACTTCAGTGCTAGCGCGGAACGTCAGAAAGATCGTGGCTATGTGTGGATCGTTCCTTACGATCCGAGATGATCAAATCTACCTCATCTACTAATTAGCCAAGGACTACCTAAGCGACAAAGAGCGAGCTGCGATCTTTCTATCCCAAGGCAAGGCTCACTACTACATGTTTTCCCAGTCGCTTAAGCTCTTGTCTCTCACACTAAAGCGTGACATGTATGGTTTGACTGCTCTAGGGTTTCCGATCGATAAGGTTCAAGTGCCGGCCGACGATCCGCTAGCGACAACACGGTACTCGTGCATATACTAGGTGGACTATCTGTGTGATTGGAGCTCTGAATCGTCTAATAATTACGGAGACGCGCTGCAGAAAGGCGGTGCTGTTAATATTTGGTTGAGAACGAAGTATCTATACTAGCTAGAAGCTCTTTCCCTTTGCAAGAGCATACTAAAGGGTATCGTTTCTATAGAGAAACTAGAGATGCTAGTCCAGGCAGGTTCTACACAAGCAGTGCAGTTAGGTGTCTCTCTCACTAATAAAGTGTAGGGAAATAGCAATGCAGCTAGACTGGCTGAGCTTGTACAGGATGCGCGTTAGTGCATTATGTATCACAAAGGGGCAATTGAGAGTAGCCCTCTTCAGGTATATGCATCTGCGTTGTTGTTTAGTCCAACAAGGAGCTTAGTAAGAAGGCTGTTTTAGCACGAAGAGCTAGAATGTATAACTATCAAGCCGGCTATAGACGATAATTGGAGCGCGTGCCTGCAGACGCTCGAGGGCTATTTGGGTGTCGTTACTGTTGTAGCCTTCTCGCCTGATAGCAAGCTGCTAGCATCAGCATTAATAGATAGGACGGTTAAAGTATAGGACGTCAGCAGGGGACTAACGATGCACAGGTGCGAAGGCCATTCAAGCCCCGTTATTGCATTTATCTTTATAAAGGATAGCAAGATACTAGCGTCCGCGTCTAAAGACCTTACGATTAGGCTACTGGATATCAGAACAGGGGAATGGCTCGTTACGGTCAATTGCTGTTCTGACCCCGTTATCAACGCCGCTTTCTCGCCAGACGGGAAACTGCTAGCATCCATATCAGACGACGGGAGGCTCAAGTTGTGGGATGCTAGCACAGGAATAAGTGTTCAGGCGATGGACGATAAGTTATACTACGTCAGCCATGTAACCTTCGCGCTAGATAGCAAGCTGCTAGCGTTGTTATAGGACCAATCAATTAGGGTATAGGACGCCAGCACAGGGGTAATGATTATGACGCTCAAAGGCTATTCGAATGTCACTGCGGTTACATCCTCGCCGAACGGTATGTTGCTAGCGTTAGCACTAGGCGACGGGACTATCAGGACAATGAACATCAGCACGGAGGCTACAATTCAGGTGCTGGAAGGAAGTTCTGAATATGCCCAACAGATTGCTTTCTCCCCAGACAGCAAGCTGCTTGTGTCCGCATCCTATGATGGAACAGTTGAGTTGTGGGATACCAAGACTGGAGTGCGTGTCCAAACACTCCAAAGCTATTCGGATGATGTCATTGCCATCGCATTCTCGCCGGAGAGCAAGCTACTAGCTTCGGCGTCGTACGACGGGAAGATCAGACTATGGACCGTTAGCATTACAACCTCGGTTCAGACGTCTAAAGATTATTCAGATTATGCTAGCCCCGTCGCATTCTCGCCGGACGGCACGCTACTAGCGTCGTCATTAGACTATGGCATGGTCAAGCTGTGGAACACTTGCACGGGTGCAGAGATGATGCTCGAGGGCCATTCGAATCGTGTCAACGCGTTGGCCTTCTCGCCGAACGGCAAGCTGCTGGCGTCGGCATCGAGGGACAAGACAGTCAGAGTATGGGACGTTGGCAAGGGATCTCAGACACTGCAAAGCTCTTCGGGCTCCATCACTGTCGTAGCCTTCTCGCCGGACGGCAAGCTGCTGGCATATGCATCGGATGAAAGGACAGTCAAGCTGTGGGACACCAGCACGGGCATGGAGTTGAAGAGGTTCGAGGGACATTCGGGCTGGGTCGACTCGTTGGCCTACTCACCAAACGGCGATCTGCTGGCGTCGGCATCGAAGGACAATACAGTCAGAATATGGGATGTTAAGACGGGCATGGAGATGAAGACATTCGAGGGCGATTCGGACAGGCCTCCATTTGGCTGGCGCATCGCCGTGACATTCTCGCCGGACGGCAAGCTTGTGGCGTCGGCAGCGGACGGCAGGACAGTCAAATTATGGAAAGTCAACACGAGAGCGGAGACGGAGGCGTTCGGGGGTCATTCAAGCCACGTCAGCGCTCTGGCCTTCTCGCTGGATGGTAAACTGTTGGCGGCGGCAACTCACGATAGGACGGTCACACTGTGGGACGTGAACACAGGAGCAGTGGTTCAGACTCTTAAAACTAATGCCGTTCTTAGTATCCTCTCGTTTTCTGACGATGGTGCATTCCTCCAAAGTGATAGAGGAGCGCTATCCCTCTCGTTTCTTTCCATTCATCAGTCAACTCCTAGACGCGAATATATGTCTTCTGTATATATCAAGGACCAATGGGTAAGCCACGGCGCAGGCAATGTTCTTTGGCTACCTCCTGATTATCGGCCAAGCAAAGTTGCTGCTCACAAGAATATTGTTGCTTTTGGTTGTAGGTCTGGTCGAGTGTTAATTATGGAATTCACTTTCTGAACATTTCCTACAATAGTAGCTTCACTAATCGAATTCTCCTGTTCCGACATGGTTGGTTCGATGTATATCAATTCTCTTCCGGCTTGTACATCCGGGGTGAAGTAAGTTGCATTTTCAGATAATCTCATCTTCAGTTTTTAGGGTAATTACATCAGGTGTCAGACACAAGCTAAATTTAGGTTGTGCCTAGCTACGCAGAGGTTCCATTATGGGTCCCACCCAGAACCCGGTTTTGGGCTCTCGCGAGCCGAAAATAATGGTACTGCTAGTGGCAACTCTCTTCATCTAACTTACGCACCAAAAGATCCAACGCCTCCAGGGCAAGGTCAGGTCAGGAGCGGGTCGGCCACCTCTCTACTAGCGTGGCTGAGGCATCAAAGTACTTTGTTCGCGACAACGACTCTCAGCCTGCCTGCACCAGCCTTACTCCGCCACAGTCTAGGCTGTGCGTGCTGCCCGCGCGCTCAAAAATTGCAACCAGATTTAATCGCTCCATCCTCCAGCACTGTTTTCAGCTCGTTTATCAGTATCCTTGTTCTTCTGCTTCTTGAAGCGCCGATCCTTCTCCCGAATCTTGTTTATTTCTTATACGGACCTCGTCCTCCACCTAAATCACCTATGGTTTTGTCAGATTAGATGAGGTAATGCATAGAATTAATAGATGTTGATTCTTTCGTGTTTCCTCCCTGGAAGGTGGTGCTATCACGATGTATATGCTCTCGTACAAATAAGGTCGAAGTAGGATCGAGGCGGGTCGGCCAACATGGCTGCAATCGACACCGATGCTAAATTGCCTGCTGGATGGCCTTCCATCTGACAGCAACACATGCTATCTGACAGGTTTATCAGACCGCCACCTCGAGCTACAAAATCATATCCATGTATATGGCTCGCCCAGAAGTAGTAGAGTGCTTATAGAGGCGCTTCTTATGTACCTCCCACCCCTTGTACAGAAAGCCCTACGAATACCATTAGAACTGCAGCATATGCCAGCGTCCCAGCAAAGACCTGATCAACCTTGTCCATAAAATACGCTAGGGTAACTCCAAAACCAAGCACGAAGCCTGTGGTGACTTCTAATTGGAGATACAGCCGCTGTTCCAAAGCTAAGAGCCACATGGGGCCAACGAGGAATCCTGCACCGATAAATGCCGCACTCAACTTCCACCAGAACGCCTTACGCGAGATGTTTTTGACACCTTCATGGCGTGTTCCGCCAATCGGCTCGGCACAGCCATTGCTGTCAAGATATTCCCATGGACCGGTATGCAATGCAGATTTCTTCCTATTGTAAAGGTCCTTCTTCGCATCATAGTAGTGAGACATTGCAGACTGCAAGACGTTTTTGTCGTGGTATCGTTCAGAGGAAACGATAAAGTAATCATACGCGGTTAGGCCAGTCGTCATGTACTCATAGTCACGAATCGCCTGAGCTAAATTCACCTATCAGCTTGTGCATTCTGATGTTGGAAACATTTCCTACTGTATTGCCTCAATGCTGGCACGAAATTCCTCTGTGCGTGCTCCTTTCTCTCTCCTAATTCATTCTTCAATTTCTCGGTCGCGTTCCTGTTGACATTGAACTCCATTGCTACACCCATATTGGCTAACTCTATTTGAAGTGCCCGCATGTACATCCTATGCATCTCGGCTAAGCTGATCCTGTATTCTGTCTGTTCGAATTTTGGGGGATCCCTTCCAAGGATCTGATAGATCCAGCCCAGAAGAGGCAATCGTTCATCAACGAGATCTATGAGATTCCCCTTATGTTGTTCGAGCGCGGTGTCCAATGACCTGCTGTCGGGATAAAAAGATGGTGTTTCATTACTGCAGTGACAGGTAGGACGCAACACTTTACTGTGTTGGTTGAGTTTCTCTATTGGAGGCTTGGCCGGAGCGGACAGCGCTGGTCGTTCGTCGCAGCGGCAGCAATGGCATTGTACATGTACCGGTACGCTTGGGTTTCCTGACATCGCCTTTAGCAGGTTGCTTGTTTCTATAAGCAGATTCGGTAGGTTTTTAGTAACTTAGCAAAGGTGGCCGAAAAGTATGTTATAAAGCGGGAGTTCGAAAGACTAGCATACTATTCCAAAAAGGAGATTTGGGGCCGATAGCGACTCAGGTCATACTTGCATGCATGTGCATTGCGATAATGTACGTATTTGGTTCACCTGATGGATAAACGCTTTGCACCAGAAATTTGAAAAGACACGTAGCTCAAGTATGCATAACAAAGCGGGGTTCGAGAAGGCCGCATGCGCATTCGGCTAGGGATAGCCTTATCTGGGCCAATAATTAGCAGCTTACATTATGCATGCACCGTGACAGGGTGTGAGATATGCCACGTAAGTGATGCAGATGCTCTGGAGCAGTATTTTACGTGCTTCCTGCTTCGATTCACCAAGCGGTAGTCAGCCAAAACTGTGCCTACTCAATCACCTCACCTTGGGTCAGATATTGTACCCCGATATTAGCGCATTCGCACACACCATGTCCCAACCATCAGAAGAGGTGGAGCTCGAAATAGTGGGATCGGAATTCAAATCTGGGAAACACCTCGTTTTTCAGTATAAAGTCAAGAACCCTGATCATAGCAGCGAAGATTGCCGAGATGTTCACCTGCGGCAATTGAACAGTCGTAAAGAAACAAAAAATTGCGTGGAAATCAAAGAGGACAATCTAATATGGCTCAAGTTCGATTTCGATGTTTGGTATTCGGAGGATGGAGACTCATACAAGATTCTGACGAATGAAGGGGAAAACGCGAAAAAGATCCAGGACTGTTTCTCCGGGCTTGCATTCGGATATGGGGATCACGGGCAAGGCTGCCACTTTCAATTACCGAAGAAATATTCTTACAACGAATGGGTAAAAAATGTCAAACCAAAAGCTAGAGCAAAGGATTCCCGTCAGAAGGATCGGCCTCGAAGCGATTCAACTCCAGCAAAGCATCGATCAAAATCTTCGCGGAGAGCCTTTCTTTCGAAACTGCCATCATCTTCCAAAAAAAAGACTGAGCAGAGCAAAAGGGCTGCTTCGACACGTAAGCGCAGCAAGTCGCATCGGGACTCGGAAAAACAATCGCCTTAATGGAAGAGTGGAGAAAATTCGCCCAACATTCTACATGACTCTCTTAGAGGTTGTGGCCAGCATTCTCGACTTTGCCCCGTTTCTTGTGCCGTCGAACCCTAGATCTGTATGATTCACGCCCTGCTCTAATTCCAGGAATTTGTCGTTAACCCCCAATGTCCTCCTCGAAATCTTTTACAATATATTGAAGACTAGCGGAGAAGGAGGCTCAAGACTTGCCTTTTGCGGGCAGCAAACGAGGCCCTTGGCCGTCTGTACGCATTCTTAATTGTTTACTTGTCACAATCATTTTGTTCTAGCGCTGGTTTTCGGCTAGACCTTTATCCAAACGCCACGAGGCGGTGGTGAAGATGCAGCTCGAGGCGGGCGCCGATGTTAACGCAGGCTGGAAATTACTGCAATGCCATCCAGGCGGCTTTAAAGAGAGGCCGCCATGAGATTGCGCAGCTGCCAGTAGCAAGAGGCAGACTTGTCAACAATCAAGCCAATCAAGCCGATCTAACTACATTTAGTAATATCTTAACCTTCGCGAGTTAGTGGATTGCCATATTAGGTTAGACCGGCTTGATTGGCTTGATTGTTGACAAGTCTGGCAAGAGGTACGAAGTCATCGTAAGGGTAATTCTCTGTGGTTGGCTGATTAGTCTTCCCGAAAAATATAGCTACTGTTAAAAAATGTGTACGGCGGTTATAGTGAAGTGAAACAGACAGAAGGCTGATAGCTACGCTTACGTGACTGCAATGAAAGTGATGTGTGGCAAAATCGCCATTATGAGCCAAGTACATGGCCGACCCGCTCCTGACCTGACCTTGTAAGCTTTCCGGCAATAGAGGAGTAGTTACCCTATTATAGTAGATTACATAACCGTCTACTAGATACCGTGCACGGTCACCTTTTGCCTCGGGTCGAGTTTTGACGCACCCCACCACATGAGAAACTTAGAAAAATGAAGCTATAGAGCCACCAACAAAAGCTATTTTCACGAGATATCTTAGAGTCGTACTAAATATACCATTGCGATCAACTTGTGCTACTTATATTTACTTGGTACCTTAGTGGTGCGGCCAAGGCGGGTCGTTTGAGTTGGGACGGCCGGTGCAGCCACCTCAGCTTGTACATGAGATGAATTAACAACAACACGTTTTTGACGCTTCTGATTTTGAGTAGAGGCTTGCGAGGCCTTGCGCTTACCCTTTTGGGACAATTTTTATAGCTTTTTCAGCGTCGCGAGCTGCTTTCTGGCGCTCCTTTTCAGCTAGCTTTTCGGCTCGCTCCTTCTCCCTCGCCTCCTTGAGCCTCTCCCTCTCAACACGCCTCTCCTCGGCCTGTTGAAGTTGGTACAGTTGAGCCTGCTTCCTCAGCTCTGCCCTCTCTGCTTTTTGGAGTTGTTCGAGCTGTTCTTGGTGACGTCGTGCTCTCTCATCGTCCTGAGCCTGACGAACCTTCCTAGGCGACCAGAAAACGGCTCCTCCATGGTATTCCTCAGGATTACTGAGTTGAAGCGTATAGCTCTTCGTTTGGTGTCTCTTTTTGACCTTTAAAGCCTCCCTTAGGCCTTGGATTTCTCCTCTAAGCAGACTTGCTATCAGTCAGGTAACTCAGTTCGAACTGACTGAACTGACTGCCAAGACTCAGTTCAGTCAGTCAGTTCTTGAGGCCGCTGGACGTCAGTCCAGTCAGTTCAGAGGTCTCTAGACTGACTGAACTGACTGATGTTGGACTGACGTTAGCTGTTTTTAAAGCAGAATTTTGCAGTCGTGATAGCTACATCTAGTGCAGCTTCGAAGCCGCGCTAGTCCTAGATACATAAACACTAATTCTATACAAGTTAGCATATAGAGCATCGAGCCAATCGGAACTTATAGAAGCGCGCTAGCCGCATCTAGCAAGCCTTTCGCGTCGCGTCGCGTCCGCTATACACACGACGCTATACTACTGTTGCCATAATACTTTTTAGTGTACTTCATGTCTACTCCCTCTAATTTAGGCCTTCGCCACCTTGTAGAATACGACAAGCGCAATTCTCCTCTACCATCGCTATCGAACGCGCCTACTGTTGGCGATACTGCGAGCGAGGCACAGGCTGATGAGCCCGTGGCAGTACAGGCGGACTTCCCCAACGACGGCGACGACGACGATAATTACGACGGGCTTGATTTTAAGCGTGTGCCATACCTTGAGCGGCGCCAAGTGGAGCGCAATAGTCGCGGTGGGCCAAAAAGCAGGATCTACCGCCACGGCTGGGCCGTCTGGCACCGCAAGTACAAGAAGAACTACTGGCTTTGCCGGTACTGCCATCAACGACGGAAGCAGGAGGCTTGCTACGAGGCTGACAGCACTACAAACGCCGGCCGACACCTCTCAAGCAACAAGCCTGGGCACTCACACGGACCTAACGGACCTATACCAATTGCTAGCAGGGAGGGCAATATTATGGGCGCGCTCGCAAAGTCCCAGGTACATATTATGAGGTCTAAAGGGATAGAAGTATCGCAAGAGGTGGCAAATGAGATGGCAGCAAGCTTTTCAACCTCTCGATTTCAGGACGCGTTGAAGGACTGGGTAGTCGCGGACAACCAGAGCCTCCGCGTAATAGAAACGCCGCAGTTTAGAGCCATAATTGCAGCCGTGAACCCGCTAGCCGAAGCCCTCCTTTGGCGTAGCCACCAAACGCTCCGCGATCATATTATTGCTGAGTACAACACATACATACCAGCTGTTACCAACTACCTTCGTGGAGCCCGGTCGCTTATACACGTGTCGTTTAACAACTGGACTTCAATTGGTGGGCAGTATGCTTTTACTGGCCTCTGCGTACATTACCTCAACAGTGAGGGCAAGCTAGTTGACCACCTGCTTGGGTTGCCTGAGCTACACGGAGCGCACACTGGCAATAATATTGCCGCTGTAGCAACAACAATACTTCGGCTATTTGGCGTTGACAACACGAGCGTTGGGTACTTTGTGCTTGACAACGCAAGTAACAACGATACTGCAGTTGAGTCCTTAGCAGAGGAGTTTGGCTTTATCGCAAGCGAGCGGCGGCTGCGGTGCTGCTGCCATATACTTAACCTAGGCGCGCAATTAGTAATTTAGGGCAAAGACCGTAGCGCGTACGAGAATGACGCCGCCCACCTTAAGGACGAGGAGAAGTACATGGATGAGTAGCGCAAATACGGTCCTATTGGCGTCCTCTTTGACGTGACTGCGTCTATCTGCACGCCTCAAACTCGGCAACTACTAGAGCGCCTACAGCGCGAGGAGGCAGAATCTCTAGGTGTTACACCTCACATCCAGCAGCTTGTTAAGCCTGTCAAGACCCGCTGGAATAGCTATTTTAGCACGTTTGTGCGCGCAGCTAAGCTACACGGCCCTATCGATAGCTATATTGAATGTAAACTTGGGGAGCATAGTGCTGCAACAGCACCCTCACAACGCCGGAAGAACCACGAGCAGCTGCCCGCTGCACAGCCGCGACTATACATACGTGAAGGCGGTCTAAGCGGTAAGGACTAGGCGACAATAACGGAGTACATTCGACTCCTTAAGCCATTTGCCGAAGCTACACAGCTACTTGAAGGCCGCGGACAACACGGCCGCCACGGCGCTATTTGGGAAGTTCTAGTAACGTTTGAGTGGCTTCTCGACCAGCTTAAGGCCCTTAAAGACCGTCTTAAGGATGTAGATTACAAAGGGCTAGACGCGCCTGAAGATCATCTTGTTACGAACGTCAACCTTGCTCACAGTAAGCTTGCTAAGTACTACGCAAAATTTGACGATGCGCCTGTCTACTACACTGCTACGATACTACACCCGCATTACAAGCACCACCTCTCAGCGCTCTGGAAGGTACCCGACACCCATGTTACTGCCCGTGACGGTGTTCACTATCGCGACGGCTGGCTTGACAATAACCACCGGGCATTCCTGCGCATGTGGCAGGGGCGAAAGGATGCCGCAGCTATTCCAGCTCAGACAGTGACGCCGCCGCGTAAGAAGTCCCAGCTAGGGTTGTCAACGTCGCGATCAGCTTTTCTACAGTCGTCGATCGAGCAAAGTATACGGCAGGTAGAGGCAAGCCTTGCGGAGGATGAGTATGAGATTTAGAAGCGGCAGCCAGCGTTAGCTGAGGAGGACTAGCTGTCTCTTAATCCGCTTCTATACTGGGAGTCAGTTGCTAGGCAATTCCCCATACTCTCAAAGTTTGCTATTAACGTTCTGACAATACCAGCGGCAGCGGCAGACTGTAAGTGGACTTTCAGCGAGCTTGGCGACATGTTAGGCACGCGGAGACTCCATATGAAGCCAGAGCTTGTTTCAGCTTTGCAGAGTTTGAAGAGCTGGAAGAGGCTTGGTATACAGCCAACGACTACGTCAGCTTTGGGGTTAGCGCGTACACTATCGGAGGAAGAAATCTTGAAAATACAGGAGCAATTATCTCAGTTCGACGTCAGGTAACTCAGTTCAGTCAGTCCAGCCAGTCTGCAGGCGGCGGCGACGTCAGTTTAGTCAGTCAGTTTCAACTCAATTGAAAAGTCTTGGCAGTCAGTCCAGTCCAGTTCAGTGACCTCACAACGTCAGTTCAGTCAGTCGAGAGAGCTCCGGACTGACTGAACTGACTGATAACAACTCTGGTCTTTTGCAACTTGTCCTGTGGCTGTCATCTCCCTGCTGTTTCCGCTTGTTGGTTAGGGGAGGCGTCCCATCATCGGAATCCATGGCTTGGTTGGCTACGTCGGGCATGAAGCTTTGACGAGTAAGCACGTTTCTGCCACATTTCCTTTCGCCCTTCTCACACCAAACATAGTCTGCTGGATCGTCGGGAGCGTCTGCGAACTCATAGTTGATGGCTGCTGCGAAGTTCTTGCCAGTATTTCGGACTTCATGGTAAACACGGCCCAGGAGAGTGACCAGCACGTCTCCCGGTTTTTGGCACACGATCTCATAGTTGATACCCCATTTTTCAATCCATCGAGGTCCCACGATGACGTTGTGGTGTCGCACAAACTGCGAACATCTTCTTGAGCCTAGGAACTGGTCTCTAATGCAGCGCTCGAGCTTCTCAACACTGCTTCGGCGAACGATGATCTAGTGCTTTTCGGCGCCTGCCAGCAGCAGGTTCGCAGACTCCGTGTTGCCGTCCTCGATGTGCAACGTTGCGGGGGTATTGGGTTCGCAGCTAACGTACCAGTACGGACGGTTAACGCCGGCGATCTCGGGCCAGCGATTGCACTGCGGGCCAGCGTTGAGTAGATTATTGATGCTGTGCTCAGACAAGGGTTTGCTGATCAGGTATCGAACGCGGTCGGGGGGCTTGCTATCCACTCCTCGAACTCTTCCTTGAACTGCTGGGATACACCAGCTGCGCTGAACCCATCCACGTCGCAGAGGTCGAGCGAGATATCTGCGGCTACCTGCGCGTGTAGACAGTCGGCGTCTCCTTGAGCAAGTGCAAAGCCTTTGATCTCGTCCCGGCCTAATGCCTGGGCGCCGCGTAGGAGTTGTGTGAGTTCTGAAGTATCCCAGTGATGCCGCACTTGCAGAATGAGATATCCACGCTTGTCGACATCGTGGCATTGTAGTGTCTTCCGCGCCCGTTGGATAGTGGCAACCATGTTCTTCCTAAGCTGTGAAAGCCGGTATAGGAAACGCAGATTCGAACCCTCTATTCTACGCTCCGACATTCGCCGCTCTGTCGGAACCTAGCCGGCGACATGCCCTTGGCTGGGTAACGCTGAGCCATCCTGCTCGTGTGTCTCCCACTCTTGTGTCTCCGCTTCGCGTTCCTCTGGTTCGTGTCCCTCCGGTTCGTGTCCTTCCGTTTCGTGCGTCTCTTGTCTTTCGAGATTTGCGATGTGTCCATCCAGTTCCTTGGCAATCGCCTTTAGTTTCGCCAGAAAATCTGATTTGGAAGTCGACCGCTTCGAGGATGTGCTTCTCGGCCTAGGCCTACCGTGAGCGCGTTCGTCGTGGCCTTCTGCCGATTTGACCTCTTCGAGTTGCCGGAGAAGCTGTTTGGCAGCCGCTATTAGCGTGTCAGTGGATTCGTATTCAGAAGGATGTCGCGCTACCATCGCAAAACAGGAGGCGTGAACCCTGATGTTCTGTACCGCGACGTAATTACTTAGGCACATACACGAACGCGTCGTGAGCGCACGGGCCGTAAAAGCTGACAGTGCCTTTGTGCTTCGTGCGCAAGCTCGGCACTTGCTCCTGCCGACGGCTCACGTGCGAAATCAGAGGATCAGCCGTAACTTCAATGACTTTGCGTAGATGTAACACTTCTGCACAAGACAGCATACCAACTTTCATGAACGTCTAGATAATAGCAGATCCTGTGATCTTGTCTCTGAATTGGCCTGAGCATTATAACTATCGAAGTTATTTTCCTTTTGTTGCTCTTGATGTATGCACGCGGTGCTTGGCCTTACAGATGTCTGTTGTACATAGACTAGACAGGGCACACTAGCGGATATGTCTACTGTCACATCAAGAGCCATCACTAGATCTTTTCCTCTTGACACCTCTAAGTATCGATAACACGACTGGAGTGCTTGATAGTACAGCCTTGCGCAGATCCACTAATAGCCTGTGCTCATCTGCATCGCCGACGGTTCGTAGACCACCGGTAGACCCCGCCAATTTTCTTTGAATCCAGTATTGCGCCAGCCGCACCACAGCATGCTCTGATCTGCGGCGCCAAGATGTGTTCCCTTGTAGCATGTTGTGCGTCTCCTGCACAGCATTCTCTTCCTGATCCGTCCGAAGGTCGGAGATACCGCCATTCTCAGAGACCACATTACGCTCGGCTTCGGCTTCGACTCCAATGGCGTGGTAGCTACTGCTTTGACTTATGAACACAAGTGCTTCTGCGACAGCAGCATTGGCTTGGCACAGCTCCCGAACGTGTGGTATGAACGATTGAGGTGGTACTTCGCGGAGGGTCTGTAGCGCGGCCCTGATAGTTGAGATATCTTCTGCCATATCAACCAAACAGGAGCAGGATATCTCTGCTACTGTATGCGTACTGCATGTGTTCGAGAAAGAACCAAATGCTAGAGAAGGCCCATATATCATCGAAACCTAAGACTAGCTACAGAATCGTGAGGCATTAACAAGATGAAGCACGTCTGAAATACCGCCCTTGACCTGATGGATTTAAACCCGTACAGCCCAGAAGGCCACCTCGGATCGCCCATGTTTTGGCGCAAACAAGATCGAACATGTGTCTCGTTATATCCATTAGCCACATTCATAAACCTCACAATTTGGGACAGTATTCCCCACCTCTTTCACGACGCGATCGTGCCCGAGCGCTCCGACATCAGGTCATCTGTCATATTAGTAGCTGGGTCGAGCAGCTGTTACGAACCACAGCCACGGGCTTCATCATTGGGTACTGTGAAACAGGAACTGTGCCACTAAGCGCCAGGCCACCCGAAGGAAGTACGCGTCACGTGGCTGATAGTTACGCCAAGGGCTAGCGATAGTCCTGCGCGCGGCTATCAACACTACCGATAGTCGCGCTCGCGACTATCACAACTATCACCCTCAGTATATAGCATTAGGCAATGAGCTCTTACAGCTCATTGTGTTCAACTTCGATTTAAGTTCAATCTAAGGATTAACTACTTGATTCTCAACCCCCCTCGTACTATTACATCGATCCACCAATCGTGCTAGTACAACCTTCTCGTCCATCGTCGCCCTCTCATTCCCCGAGAACCAACCCTAGATCATCTTCGGGCGATCTCCACAGCAGCTTGCTACGAAACCCATGCCATCCTCCGCACCGCCACCGTATCATCAATGACGGTTCCTCCTAGGTGTGAGTAACTAAAATATAGGTGTGTCTTTCCTGCAGCATGACTTTTCTGGGTGTTGTCTTCTTTATTGTATCCATCGTTATACCCCTTCGTCCCTTCGCTTGGACTAACATTTATCGACAACAGACAGAAGGACACTGTGCCATTCGCCACAGTACTCGATGCGTTAAGATTAATGGATTTATTCAGAATGAGTCCAATCGTACGGTATTGGTAAAGGGCCGAGGTTAAGCGGCACAGCAAAGTATGGGTTTCCAATAGAAAATCAATTTTGAACATTTTATCCGACAAACCTCGCTACGTGAGGCTTCTATTTCGATGATCTCACTGTCACCCATACCCTAGGCCGCTGACTCCATCTCGTACAACTAATATGCCACGTGCATACGTGGTTTCGCCAGCAGTTCGTTCACCAGGTTTGTGGCGCACAGTCAGCAAAGAATGACATGAAGCCCAGACTGAATTAGGTTGAAGAAGCTGGAAAGTAAGTGGGGTACGCGCTTTTTCCCAAAGACTGCTCCTGCCAGCTATTATGCTAGCGAGTTCGAGGAAAGTGACCGAGTCCCCTTCTGGCCAAAGCTTGATCAATAGCTGGAGATCTCGCCCCAATAAAGGAGAATTTAGCCCATTTCCTGACAATCTTTTGATGTGGCTCGACCCGCGAACTGACTCGTTTCGCGCACGGACACGGTATGCCAACTTCTTGTATTTAGTGGGTCGTGGAAATGAAGGACTTAAACGATTGAGTAGTTATAAAGGAGGGGAGCTATTTATATGAGTGGTAGGAGAGAGCAAGGAATTTGATAACAAATACTGTATCAAACATGCCTTCTCAGTTCCTGCGACTGCCACATCTCGCCTCGTCTTCCTCTACACAGGTGCTATTTTGCAAGATTGTCTTAGTGATCTTAATCCCGGTTCCCAGGATACTTTCCTCGCTCTCCGAGTGCCGCAGCTGAGTGGACGGCTTCAGAGCTTTCACCCTAGTGTCATTTTGCTCATACAACATCACCCAATCTTCTCCCCTCCCGTTGTATGGCGCATTTGCACTGCCCCATACCGTGTGGTCTTTTGGCGTTCGCTCCGGTACCGAGTTCCCGTCCAGGTTAAAGATGCGTCGAAACAAAGGCCGAAGGGTAGCGACGCAGCCTACAATCATTCCTACGCCGTTCTCAGCATATCCCCAAATCAATACATCAGAGATACCAACTGGAAGCCAAAGTTAGCATGCGCACTCTCGAATTTCAAGGAAACTGGTACGGGCTGGTACTTTGGCTGGATATACTTACAAAGAAAATCGGTTGAATGGGTCAGATTGACCGTATAAACGAGACGGATACAAGCAGACAAACTTGCTCTACAATAGCACATTAGCATTCATCGCTAAGGCGACGTCAAAGATAGGTCCACTTACAGAGCACCAAGGCTGAGAATAACACCCACAGAGAGCTTGGCATTACGGTTGAGCTGGACGTTCCAGAGAAGTGGAATCGGCCTAAATGATCAACAATTGGAACAGGGCGCAGTATGGCTCTATCTGGGTAAGACTTACAGTATAGCACAGAACCAGTCCGTAGTAATGTTCACCACCGTGGTAGCATAATATATATCCGCAAGTACTTTAGCAGGGTTACAGCTACCGCCCGGGATAGAAGTGTTCCATGCGTATCTTCGGGGGCATCGTTAGCCAGAAAACGACAAGACCCATATCTAGGGCACTTACTGGACAGGGCTGCAATGGAAGATGATATAGAACAACGCGATGAAGTTCATGACTGTAAACATGGCAGAGACCGCATACAGACTGTGTATATACTTCTTTTTTCCCGATGCAATGCGCACTAGCATAAAAGAAATGCTCAATTTGATGGGAATGATGGCAGCGCAGTAGAAAACCTCGAAGAAAAAGAAGAACTACGCAAGTCAGATTCCGCTTGGCGTGTGTCGTATCTAAGTACTTTGCTTTACATACCTTGAGACCTTCGGTCTTCTGTTCTGCAGACAACCTGAACTCATGAACTCCAACCCCTTTAAAAGAGCCTCCAAGGCATGACACAGTTAACGCAGTAAACGGAATCTATACCGTTAGCTCACTTAATGGCGTACACTCACGTAGAAGCCCACTTACAGTTGCGACCGTCATACACCAGTCATCCATGCCCCATGCCCTGTTCCGGATTCTTGTATATACGCGCATTCCAAAAACCACATATGCGATAGCCGCTAGGGTGGTTACTGTTGCGGTGACTTCGGGTGCCTTATCACCAAAATAAGTCATTTCGAAGTTTGCCAGATCGCGGCGCCGTCGAAATGAAAAAGAGACACTAAGACTTGGTGTAAGATGGGACGCACGAAGCGATCAGTAGGTGGCAAATGGGCAGCACAACGACTACGTCTAAGAGAGCGGAACTGTGAAGCAGAAAGACATTCGACTGAGAGCGGAGAGAGCCAAATATAAGCACAGAGGAGGGGCAATATCAATTATACTACTAGCCTGTGTGGCTGGTGATAGTATCATATAGCTATGGTCCTATACGGTGGACCCCTCCCAGAAGTATGAAGATCGACAAACCAGATACCCGAATCTTTATGACAGACGATTACTTCGATTGGCTGTGTAACCCTCGTGCAAAGGGTTTGATTGACTCGAAGGTATATAATATGGGCCCTGGAGCTTGAGCCTCAGATTTTTCCGCTCCTAAAAACTCTGGGGAGGGACTATAGTAAGTCTCCCGAGAGGATCGTCGATTCCTCGGGTTAGAAGAAGAAGAAGGAAGGCCTTCTAGACCCATATAACTTGTCTGCATGTAGGCAGTGGCGTCAAACCGAAGCTCGTTAACTCTTCTCTCGTTGCGTTCGTCCTTGTCACGACAGGGCTGGCCAAGAGAAGACCTTTGTTCGAATAATGCTTCATCTGCACAAGCCTAACCCGTGTTCGCGTTGAAGGGTGGCTAACTGGGAAGACCCGCGGATGTCAGACAAGACAGCGGCTGAGCGTGCACTAGTCAAGGACTAGCGTGCTCTCCTTAAATCTGGCCAATAAGAAACGAACATAACCGAGAGACGGGATAAGAGACCACGCTCGTACTACAAACGTTCCACTTTTGTCTTCCATAGACGGGTAGCAAAAGTCGGCGGCGGTTATGTCAACATATAACTGTGTTTAAACTCCCTATATGATATGTCTACAGATGCTTTTTTAGAGATTGAACCGCCTGATAACATGTACTATTGCCTCGGCCCTGCTTTCGAAAGCAGTAGTGGTTGGTTGCTTAAGTTCTCTGTTGTTCATGTAGGCTTTTGCACAAGACTATAGGTCGGCGAAACCAGGTCACGACTCGTAATACCCAGCATCGTGCGGCTTGCCAAGGGATCCCGCTGCGTTGGGGCGAAGCTAATCGACTCTTGGCATATCTTGGCAATTCAACAATCATGTCCCGGACGACTGCACTCTCCCTACATTGCAAGCCGTAACCTCGAAACACGACAACAGCGAGAATTCCACTTTTTGGAATTAACGTAGTTCAACGTACGCAAACGTCAGCTAGAGACGGCACTCGACTAGCCAGCACTCAGAAGTAGCGCCCACTGCTGCTGAGGCGTCATGGCGACACCGTGGCCTCGACCTGGCCGATTCCAATAGACGAGCATGCTACTAACCTCAGCGCTTTCCTTCGTGAGGTGCTGTCGCTAATCGAGCGCAATGGAGGCCAACAGCCTCTGCCAGCAGACATCGTTGGCGATATCGTTCGCGGCGCATTGACGTTCGTCCTGAAAACGCAGCACTCCCCCGACCTCAGCAGCCTCAGCAATGCCCTCAACGTTGCGCAGACCGAGGCCAGAGCAGCAGTAGAAAACACGGCGCAGACCCTCGATCAGATCAAGCAAGAGCTCAAGTCCACCGTAGAACTCGTACAACAGTCCGCAACAAAGATACAACAAAATGGCAACATGGCAGAAGAGGCGAGGGCGGCAGCCAAGGACGCCACAGAGGTGGGTAAAGCAACGCTGGAGGTGGTGCGAGAGATCAGGAACAAAAGACCACAAGAGCAGGCGAACGGACCGATGAGCTACGCGGCAGCGGCAGCCAGAGGCGTTCCACTAGCAGGTACATACAATGCACAAAGTCTCAAAACACCTTCTGTGCAGACACAGCGTGAGGTCATCATGAACATCAGAGACCCACTCACCATACAGAGCCTGGGGGCAATGAACCCCAGTAACCTTAAACTTCATGTCCAGCGTGCCATTGAGCAGAGCGGCAATAAGAACATAGCCAGCGTGAAGATCGTCTCATCTAATCAGCTGAAGAGCGGAGATCTGAGCATCAAGACAGCTAGCAGCAGCGAGGTCGAGGCGCTGCGACAGTTTGCGGACGACTGGGCCCACCGCATAGGCAGTGGCACTACAGTACAGATCCCGACATACGGTGTCCTAGCGCATGGCATACGCACGAGCACAATGGACATGAGCAAGCTCGACGAAATCAGAGCGCAAATTCTGCAGGACAACCGACCTTTCATACCTTGGGCGGAGATAAGACACATAGGATAGCTGACTAGAGACGCTGCTGCCAAGACAGCATCGACCATCACCATCGAGTTCACCAAACCGGAGGACGCGAACAAGATCATCGACGAGGGCCTGATCTGGTAGGGCGAGGTCTTCCAGTACGAGCGATACGAGCGACAGTGCCGAGTGAAGCAATGCTTCAAGTGCCAAAGATACGGCCACATAGGAACCCAGTGCAAGGCAACAACAGCATGTGGCCACTGTGCGCAGGAGCACGACACCCGGGACTGCCCATCGAGGGCCGGCCAGAGCGTACCCAGGAAATGTGCAGCATGCCGAGGCGAACATGAAGCGTGGAGCCGCCAGTGCCCGACCAGGAAGGACGAGATGGCCAAAGCGAAGGCCGCGTACGAGATGCGGCCTCGTTACCACCACATAGTAGAGACAGCGGGACGTAATGCCCAGCTAGATGTACCAGTAGCCACCGTTCGAAGGAGCAGATCCGCTCAGACCGCTGCACCCATCCTGGCAACGCAGCTTACTAGGACCCGGTCGCAAGCCGGATGAGGACAGAAAAGGACCCACGCCGGAACCACTGTCGACTCGACGAACCGGGAGGATCAGTCGATACAGGGGAACGGAAGTCAAAGACCACATCAGCAAATCATACCCAGTAGGAGAGCCTTAGAAGCTAACGGAGGCAACACCTCTCACACGTAGCACAGCCATCACATGGAGATCGTTTCCGATGATGACGCATGAATAGACACACCACACTAAGCATACTACAGTACAACGTGCACAAATCAAGAGACATGGTGATGGCGACCATGCTGCGCGACCCCCGGATCCACGAGTACGACATTCTGGCCATCCAGGAACCATGGAGGAACCCCTTCGCGGCGACGATACACCACCCAGCGAAAGACGTCTTTCATCTCTGCTGTCCAGCAGAAGAGGAGGCAGGACCCGCCAGGGTCTGTTTCTTCATCAACAAAAGATTAGACCACAAGAAGTAGCAGTTCAAAGAGCATAGCAGAGACATTTGCTCTCTCACAATCGAACCCAACGATGGTTAACAAGATGGACCACAGCTTATTATACACAACGTATACAACCTGGCAAGACGCATCACGAGCGAAAGCACCGTCTTGACAAATATTCGTACAATCTTGCACGACAATCGGCCAATGAGCAGATACTCCTCGGCGACTTCAACTTGCACCACCCCATGTGGGGTGGCTCAGACGTGAGACATACCGACCCCGAATCCGCAGACCTGCTAGCGATCATGGAAGACTTCGACCTGAACAGTACACTGCGTCCCGGAACCATCACATACGAGGAAAGAAACTCACGCTCCACCATCGACCTTTGTCTAGTGACTGTGGGCCTGGTCGATCGGGTGATCAGAAGCCAGGTCGATCGGGACCTCGACCACGACTCCGACCACCTTCCGATCAGCACCGTAATAGATATCAGAGTACAGCAACTGGAAGCGACGCCAAAGAGAAATTGGAAGCGGCTGAACGAGGGAGTTTACCAGAAGACACTAAAACAGGCTCTACCGCCGCTCCGCAGACCAGCGAACAAGACAGCGTTTGACACATATGTCCGAGAGACTATCGAGGCAATCCAAAAGGCCATAGACAAGGCAGTACTACAAACACGTCCGTCAGACCGGACCAAGGAGGGTTGGACAGAAGGGTGCAGCGCAGTTCTTGCGGAAGCGAAAAGACTCAAAAGAGCACACAACCAACGTCATACAGACGAGTCGTGGGAGGCGTACCGCGTCGCGAGGAATCACAAAGCAAGAACGATCAAGAAAGCACTAAGGGAGGCCCACAAAGAACGGGTAGAGCAGGCCGCGAAGTCGCCAGAGGCGTTATAGAAACTCGTCAGATGGGCGAAGACAAGAGGAAACCCGGCTCCACTGGTCACACCCGCTATACGACATCCAGAGACACAGCTGGAGATAACGGATCCGGCCAAGAAAGCGGATGTGTTCCTGGAGGCCTTCTTTCCAAGGCCACCGGAGGCAGATCTGGAGGACATACGAGACGCACAGTACAACAACCAAGTGGTTATGCCACCAGTGACAGAAAAGGAGGTTAGTGATGCCATCCGAGCAGCGTCACCACTCAAAGCACCTGGTCCGGATGGTATTGCCACCAAAGCCCTGCAAGCGGGAGCAGCCCAGCTTGCAGCCCACCTGACGAGGATCTTCAACCAGAGCCTACACCTAGGATACTGCCCGGCCCACTTTCGCGAGTCGACCACGGTCATCTTACGCAAGCCGGGCAAAGACAATTACACGGCACCGAAGTTGTACAGGCCCATCGCATTGATGAACACCACAGGCAAAATCATGGATGCAGTCATAGCACGGCGACTCAGCTACCTAGCCGAGACCTATCACGTCCTACCGCCGACACACATGGGCGGCAGGAAGATGCGCTCGACTGAGCACGCTCTTCATGCCGTGACCCACAAGATATACGAAGCATGGAGCCACAACACTGGACAGGTGGCGAGTCTCTTGCTGCTCGATGTCTCCGGAGCCTTCGATAACGTCTCACACGCACGCCTGCTTCACAATCTGCGGAAGAGACGAGTAGACGAGAAAACAGTAAAGTGGATCGCAAGCTTTCTCAGCAACAGACACACGAGCATCGCAATCGACGGCTTCCGGTCGACAGCGTATCAGATCAACACCGGCATACCCCAGGGATCGCCACTGTCGCCCATCTTCTACCTCTTCTACAA